CACCAGCAGATGACATGGCACCCCAAACCATCACTGACTGTGGAAACTTTACACTGGACTTCAAGCAACGTGGATGAAGTGCCTCTCTTCTTTTCCTCCAGACTCTGGGACCTTGATTTCCAAAGGAAATGCAAAATTTACTTTCATCAGAGAACATGACTTTGGACCACTCACCAGCAGTCCAGTCCTGTTTCTCTTTAGCCCAGGCAAGACGCTTCTGACGCTGTCTGTGGTTCAAGAGTGGCTTGACACAAGGAATGCGACAGCAGAAACCCATGTCTTTCATACGTCTGTGTGTGGTGGTTCTTGAAGCACTCACTCCAGCTGCAGTCCACTCTTAGTGAATCTCCCCCACATTTTTGAATGGGTTTTGTTTCACAATCCTCTCCAGGGTGTGGTTATCTCTCTTGCTTGTACACTTTTTTAGACCACATCTTTTCCTTCCCTTCGCCTCTCTATTAATGTGCTTGGACACTGAGCTCTGTGAACAGCCAGCCTCTTTAGCGATGACCTTTTGTGTCTTGCCCTCCTTGTGCAAGGTGTCGATGGTCGTCTTTTGGACAACTGTCAAGTCAGCAGTCTTCCCCATGATTGTGTAGCCTATAGAACTAGACTGAAAGACCATTTAAAGGCTTTTGCAGGTGGTTTGAGTTAATTAGCTGATTAGAGTGTGGCACCAGGGGCCATCAATTTTGAACCTTTTCACAATATTCTAATTTTCTGATATGATGAATTTGAGATTTTCATTTGTTGTCATTTGTAATCATCAAAATTAAACCAAATAAACATCTGAAATATATGAGTTTGTATGTAATGTATGAATATAATATACAAGTTTCACTTTTTAAATGGAATTACTGAAATCAATCTACTTTTTCATGATATTCTAATTTTATGACCAGCACCTGTATAATCTCAAATTATGATCAGTAGTTGAATTCTTACGGATTGTATCGGGTGGACAGGTGTCTTTATGAAGCTAACGACCTCAAACAGGTGCATCTAATTTAGGAAAATAAATAAAGTGGAGGTGGACATTTTGGAAGCAGACTAACGGGTCTTGGAGGGTCAGAACTCTAGTTTATAGACAGAAGTAGTTTACGTACAAAAAAATAGTTTAAAAATCATATACACCATCTTAATGCAATCATTGGTTTTGTGAAAAGTTATTTCAAGTGTCTCCAGTTCATTTTGTCATTAACCTGCCTACTGTTAATTCATTTTTATCCTCAGACCAACTTTCCTAAGAAGCTTTATACACTGTATAAACTTTCATCATCTGAGCTTTAACTATTAGGTAAAGAACATGCCCATGAATATTTTTTTTTTTTAGAATTTTATGACATATCTTCTGCTTTAAGTCTTTTATAACTTATCGTCATGTATAATAAATGTTTTAAGTTGTGAAACTCTCTCATAGCAAGTCCAAAGACATTTTCTGGTTGTTAAGATAATTTTGGTCTAAAATCCCAGAACACTTTGATTTTCCTTAGGCTCAAACAGTCATTGATTTGTTACTGGATCCCTGTTATTATAAGCTATGCTGATTTTCTGCTGTAGCTTCATACGTTTACAGCCTTTTCTTCTATAGCTGCTGAATCATACTAAAGGTTGTTGGATTTGGTTTCTTTTCTAATGTGTTCCTAAAAGCTTCATCCAGCAGTTATTGCATAATAATTTGTTTTAGTGCAGTTTGATCCTCCTCCTCTTTGTGTTAATATTCCTAATGTTCTAATTGCTCAGCTGGCTGCATAGTGATCAGCTTTCCTCTCAGGACTCCTTTTATTCTAACACCACAGCCCCATCTACTGGGCCATAACCACTTCCTTCTATATCTCAGTGATAAATTAAGCCTTTTAAATCCCCAGATTATGTTTCCAGAGAATATTTTTGTGTTTAGATTAAAAAATATGAAATAGGAGCAAAGACAATTGTTTGTTCCTATTATTCAGTCTCCCATTCTGTGCATCAGGCCACTAAAGGCCTGGTTGGAGCTACAACTTTCTCCATCTATATCTGGAAAACCTTTTAAAAACTCCTTTCATGTTAGAAGTCTGCCGTTTACATTAATTCTAATAAAATCAAATAGTCTTGTCATTTTAATGTGATAAATGCATCTGTTCTGTTTACTGTGCAATTTTTTTAAATTTTGATTTGATACTTTTGGCTTGTTGACATGCAACTTTCAGAACAACATTTTTGTGGCTGCTGCTAATAAATCAATGCAAAGTGAGCAGAGCATTGAATGCATCGTTATCGTTCACACATATAAAGCAAACAGACGCCATGTTAGGTCAGATCAAAATAGTTTGCATTTATTTCTGTCCAAAAACATTGAAAGTGACAATTTGGTAGAAAAGGGGTTGAAACTAATTTGCAACTCTGGAAAAAACAAACAAAAAACCAGCAATGGGTAGACTGTTGCATGAGACTGGTTCCCTTATAAAAATGGCACACAGCAACATTTGCACAGAAACTGAATAGCGGGATGAGAACATCTGATTTTATCCTTTTCTGAATCCCAGAATGAATCCATCAATAGAAAAGATCAGATTTAAACATATAGTGTTATGAAAAATTGGATAAAATCTCATTTTCTAATGATAATCTATGAAGAACCATGACCCATTATATGTTTCAAAAGGCATTAAAATTCTCACACATTATCCAAACCACTGATTTCTACAACACAATTTTTTTCTTTTTTCATTTTTTGTCTTAACTGAAGGTGCAAACTTTGTCCAACACCAGCCGCACGCCATGCATTCTTTCACCACAACAACACATAAAACAATTACCTATTTAACCTCAACAAGGCACCGCCTTAATCCTGCAGAAAAGAAAAACGTGACAAATCGCACAAAGGGCCGATGCCGCCGACTGCAAAAAAAATCAGCTGCCTCAAAGTTTAAAGCGCAATAAATGAAATAAAAAAGGTGGATTTTAAGAGCTCAAGATAAAATATTAGAATAATTATAAAGATTTAACACTTTGAAAGGAGTTTGAGGCACCAACAACTAAAGAGCCCATGGGCAACTTTAGATTAGCAATTTAACATGTAACAATCAATCTGAAAAAAAAAAATTTAACATCAGAGGGATGAAGTAATAAAATTCACACTTAATACAAAAAATACAACTCTTTGTAATTCGTACCTTATTTCCACCTCTTTTTTTTTTAAACATTAGCCTATAAAATAGTTGCACATATATGGTGGGTAAAATGGGTGGAAATACAATGTTATTAAGGAAGGGAAAACATTGGAAATTATAAATATGCACAGAATAAGGTAGATATTTTCAAAATAAAGTCCCTAAAAGATTTAACAACATTTATCAGCATCTTTCCCCCCACTAAACCCTTTTCCAGAACAAACAAACAAAACAGAAATAAATACATTAACACAGACTGAAGTCCAACGCTGAAGAAAGCAAAAATAAAACAAATTAAACAGGTTAGCTTACATAACTTAAAGATTTTATGTACAAAATTGCATGAGAGAAATTTATATATCCAAGTATCAACATGGAAAATGTCTTATTGCTGGTCAGAACTGAAAGCCTTGTTTCTCAAACCTCTGCAGCTTAAAAAAAGCTGCAGTTTGATAAACCAAAGCAAAAAAACAAAAACAAGAATGAAGGGATCATTCAGAGAGAAGAGGACAACTTACTACCTGATAGGTAACGATTTAAGGCATGATCAATAAGTATCTGAGTGCATATACTGAAAAAAAACAGTATGTCCCCATGTCCTGCTGAAACCTGCGCCTCGCGTTTCCTAAAGGCAACACCTGCAGCAACGCTTTGTTTCACCCAGAACGACCAACAAATCCACCCTGAGCGCCGATTAAAGCTCGGTGTCTGCTGGGCGGCTTCATCCCACAGGCATGTGGTGAATTTCTAACATCCAAGCCCCTGCTTATAAAAACAACGAAAAAACACACCAGCAGAAAGATTACCTAGAACCTACATAAAACCCATCTGGAACACGATTAAGACTTCACTCTGCTCCGCTCACCTGAGACTACGGCTGAACACCTGGTGGGTGAGGGCGATCAGTGCAGCTGCAGCAGCCAGATCTGTGGTCTAACCTCTAAGTGCTGATGGAAAAGAAGAACTTTGATCTAACCTTTTAAAGCAAAAGCATAATCCAACTAAAATAAATATATTTAAAAAACAGGTCAGCGATTTTAGTGCATTTATTGTAAGAAAAAGGCCAATTAACGGTTTTGACGTAATCTCTATAAGCCCGTTATATTTCACTTATATTAGTCCCCTAAAGTTCATCAGATTTAGAAGAGCTGCCAGTTAGCAACAAGTGACTCTCCGTTTCCATGGCTACAAGGATGGATGACCCTGCTGCTGATGAGAGGAAGTCTCACCGATTCTCTCTGCCGGATCAAAAGGTTGCATCTTAGGCTCACAGGGTTTCAGTGTCAATGATTAAACTCTATTTAACCAACTGTTGGGTAAGGATGCCGGAGAGAAAACCCCCTCAGTCCAACCATCACAAACGTAAACTTTATCTGGGATGTGTTGCTTTGCTCAGATGAGACTAAAGCTGCTTTAAAAATCCCGGTTCTTCAGTGAACCACTTGTTCATCGACCTGTGCAGGGATGTGGGTGTTTTAGCAGCTGGGATTACTAAACCTCCACCTGGATGAACTCATTTCCAATTTAAGGTCGACATTCTCAGCATTTCATCTGCATCGGATTCTGCTCATGAGCACATTTCTCAGGACATATGGACACCGAAGCCTCATTTGGGCGGTTCGGCCCACTAAAGGTCACCATGAACAGGCGCAGGGATGGGTTCTATGGCCAGACCTGCATCCATTAGAGGAATAAGAAGACAGATAAAAAAGCGTACCGACAACCACCCTGTTGGTCTTTAAACCAGTTTTAAAACTAAAATAAGAAAGTTTGAGATTATGCTGCTGGAATAAAAGATGAAACTATTATTTCCCTACATCTCTTAGTTCAAAGGTGCTATTAACCGTAAAAACAAGCATAATTTCTCCTTCAAAACCAGCTAGTTGACCTTCACTGAGGTCCAATGGTTGCAGTCGAAGTAGCTGATTGGCCTAATGGTTTGACAAACCTTAGAAATAATCCAGTTTTTCAGGATTCCAGTGTCTGGGAGAAACTTCCATGCTGTAATTACCTTCTGCTAGATGAAGAAAATAAAAATAAAGCTTCCCGTTCTGACAGAAAATCCTGCAGAACGCTGGGATGCTTTCAAAAAGCAAGTTGCTCTAATGTCCCTGACAGTTCATACTTATTCCAGATTCAGCAAAAACTGCAAACTTATCATGAATCAGTAATGGGGAAACTTAAGGTGACACTGCTGCAACTCACCCACCCCCCCACAGGCTACTTGGACAACACAACATCTAAAAACAAAAAAAAACAAACTTGGTACGAAATATCAAAATAAACATAAATAATTTAAATAGCTATACTAAAGCTAAAATCTTGGTCTAAATAAAAAGAAAAACAGTCACAGAGAAGTGCTTATATTGTTATGTACAATTAAGGGCAATCATTTTGAGATTTGGTAACCAGGACACGGATTACTCGATTTCCCGCAGCAAAAATAAAACGAAGCCGATGGTGCCGTGAAGCGTTGGTTCACAGCTCTCCTTCAGAGGAAACATTAAGTCTTACGTTGGAAAAGATTGAAGTTTATCCACTTCCTCTCGTTCTTTCTCTACCCGTCCCCCAAAACGTGCGACAAGTCACCAAAGTCACAATCGAAGAGTTCACTGATTCCTTCGTGGTCCTCCAGCCCAAAGTGGTAGTCGTGGTTCTGGGGGGGAGACAGGTTGATGAAGCTGTCCAACGGGAGAGGAAGGCCTTCTCCGTTCAGGAGGTCCGAGGACGACAGGGGCGACAGGTCAAAGTCCCCGATGTCCCCCAAGCTGGAGAACGGATCTCCTCCCAGAAGCGACTCTGTTCACCAAAACAGAGAAGTGAAAAAAACGAAAAAGCTACAGAACCACAAAACATGCTGCTGCCGTTTCCTACAATCAGAGACATAATTTTAAACAGAGAAGCTTAACTCCCATCAACACAGCCTGTAATAAACTATTAAAATAGTTTATTGCAGGATGATGATCTTATTTAAATAAAAGCTGAATCCTGTGGAAGGCAGCAGTGATGAAGGTCCAGGAGGACGTCTGCTTCTCCTGCAGCTCCCTTTACCGTTTGCTGTGACTCATTAAACTGAACGCCAGGCAGCAGCGCCGCTTGATGACACCTTTTCCTTTTAATGCAAGAAACAGGCTTCATCTTTGCCAAATTGATGGTTTTTGTGCCGTTTTTAAGAATAAAGGACCTTTTTTTCAGCCCATCAGTCACATTTCTGTTCTGATTGATTTAGTTGCACTTTCCATATTTCAAAGAAGCGAATAACTGTGGATGTGGACGCATGATTCCCAAATATTTTCAAGATCAATGAAAAAAAAAAAAAAAAAAAAAATGTGGCCATTTTTTACTCTGCTGCTCAATCTCTGCTTTTCTGTAAACCGTTTGGGTTTTTTTACTTTCACAAAAAAAGAATACATTTTGATCTTTGATCAGCTTCCTGAGGAAAAGCTACTCCACAGCATGATGCTGCCACCACCATGGTTCCCTATGGGGATGGATGATTCATTTTACTTTATCTGAGAAAAGCATCACCCTTCACCGTTTTTTTTCTCCTTTAATAAAGATCAGATTTGTAGAGAAATGAAATATATTTTTCTAATCAACACAGCTGAGGGGCTGATGCTATTGGTTAATACCCTTTTACCTCACTTCAAATCATTACAAAAGTGCTGCTCTTTGCTTAGATCAAATTACAGGAAAGAAGACTTTAAGCTAATTCAGTGTTTTCGCTTCAGGTATTTGATCGTGGCTCAACGCAATTAACGAATGACAATCAATACCTTAAAACAATGTTTTTTTGTTTGTTTTTTGCGGCACTACTAGCTCGTTTTTTGGATAGTAGGCTGAAAGGAAAGGGGGTATGAAAGAGGGGGAGCGAAATGCGGAAAAAGGACCACAGGTCGGATTTCTTAACCTGGGTCGGCCGTATCGAGGACTAAGTCCTGTCCGGCTGTGTGCGCTAACCACTGCCCCACCGAAGCACGCCGCGTTAAAACAATGTTAATCACATGATACAGCAGACTGTATATTTGAGCACATACTCTAATCATAAACAGCTATTAGCTTTAAAGTCATATGGAAGCAGCCGTTCCAACCGCTGCATTTCTGAATTCTCCCGAGTGGTGCACAACTTTACACTAGGGAATAAAATGAATTGGTTGTTTATCATGGGATTGTTGTGGCGGAAGGTCAATTAGTTATCCGTCAGCTTGTACACATAAATTCTGCCAATCATATATCAATGGTCATTTGTCAATCAAATTTTTTCGGTCATAGCATATTGATTCATATGTCACAGCTAATATACGCAACGGATCTAAGAAATGAGAATCATTTCCTTTCCCATTGAGTTCCGTCTCAGTGTTTCACAGGGATGGACGTCTGTGTCTTCAGCAGGCGTAGAGCTAACAGAACTGGCAGCGTTGCGAGGCAAGGGCTCAAACATGTACGGCTGTAAGCCTTCTACACCAAACCAAGCTTCTGCCGCCCTGGCGTCCTCTTCCACAACATCTTCGTCCCCGCTTTCCTACTCTATATAAAAAATGTATGACAGATGAGACTCATCCATGACCTCCTACACTAAACTCTCCTCCTCTTGCATGTTTCCTTGACAGTGTCGTTTCTAAGTCACCAATTTAGTGCTACTTGGTCCCAATGGAATTTCCCATTGGGAACCTACTAGCACTAAGTTGCTAACCGGTTAGCAAGATGCTTCAAAGAAACCGGCACAATAAAACTTGCTTCTAAACCTTCCCCCGCAACAATCCTGCCCTCTTGATAATCAACCAATCACATTTGCTCTATTCACTCGTGTAAAGTCAGGCACTACTCGGGAGAATTCAGAAAAGCAACGGTTGGAACAGCCGCTTCTCTACAACTTTAAATATTTTCTTTCCTATACTAATATATAGTATTAGAGTTCATAATGTTTTTTACTTCTGCATTTGGTTCTCATCCCTGAGCTTCCCTCTGTCCCCCTCAGCAGCGTTTCTCTGAGCACTCACCTGTGTCCCCACCCAACGTGAGCGTCGACGTCTCCTGCTGCGATGCCGCCGTTACCGTAGACGAGGTGGACGCCGGAGATGATAAGCCCACCTCCAGAGCTGCTGCGGAGCTCTGAGGGAGTAGCTGCTCTGCAGCGTGTGAGGGGGGCGGGACGAGGGACGGGTCGGCGTTGCCTTGTGTAGGACTACCTCCTGTCACGGGGCTGCACACACCTGAGCTGTCTTCTGGACAGAGGAAGACGTCTATTGGACCCTGTGTGCTCTTGAGGGACACCTGGTAGCCCTGAAGAAGACAGACAGACGCAGGAGCGCCGTTAGATCGGGGGGAGCACGCCTCAAAGGGCAGAGAGAGAGCCAATTCCACCGCCCTCACCTCACTGGGCTCTGTTACTTGCATCTGCGTTTCAGGGGGAGCTCTGATCACCATAACCAGCTGGTCTGGGGAGTCAAAGGACTTCCTCAGGTCCTGACAGCGCACGTAACCCAGCGTGCTGAACGCAGCTGTTAAAGAACAAAAACTTCCCTCTACAGTTTGAGGTACTTCTGTTTAGATCGGAGAATAAAAACAACCGAATAAAGCTTCACATCTTCTGCTCAGCATAACCTTTTCCCTTTCTAGCATCACGTTTCAACCACACACCTCCATGTCGGGTATGGTGATGGAAGGGTCATGATGTGGGGATGTTTTTCATCAGTAATTAAGGGAATATAAACAGTCTAAATTAGTTGCTAATTTTCACTTTTGAGGAGTAAAATTGACAGAAAGTGACGAAGGCACGTCCATGAATTGGATTGGCCTAGTCAAAGCCCAGACCTAAAACCAAACAGGTCCAACTACAGCCATGGTAGGGTTAGGGTTAGCATAAAACTTCTGCGTTATTTTTGTATTTGTATTCGTCCATCACATAAAATCCAAACGTTTCACATAACAGAGTTTGTTTTTGTAGTTTCAGGATCAAATTTAGAAAAGTAGAAAGAATATTTATTTATCTAAGGCTACGTTCACACTGCAGGCCTTGATGCTTAATTTCGATTTTTTTTGCGTTGCCGTTCACATTTACAAATATATGCGACTTCTGTGATCTCCTGTGTGAACTGCAGTCATACAAAGCAAGTGTCCCGCATGCGCTGCAGAGGACGCCGTGACATCACAGGCCAGCATGCTCTGTGTTTACAGATGTAAACATGGATGGTAGTGCTGGAGCGCATCTAGCAATCTTACTCAACCATAAAAACACAATCTTTTCAAGATGGTTAAACATAAATACTGCTCCCCGCATCATCATCTGCCATGGTTGTTATTTTTCTTGCCGCTTCTGCGTATCAAGACGCATAATAGTGACGTTTGTCGGGTATTGATGACGTTCAGGTCGGATGAATGGGACCTGGTCGTTTATACACAGGTCGCATTTGAAAAGATCAGATTCATATCGGATTCAGGACCACATAGCCAAGTGATCTGGGTCGTATTGTTAAAAAAAAAATAAAAAAATCTGATCTGTGTTGTTCAGACAGCCATGAAAAGATCAGATACGGGTCCCAAAAAGATCAGATTTGGGCTAAGGCTACGTTCACACTGAAGTGACCCAAATCCGATTTTTTTGCCCATATGCGACCTGGATCTGATCTTTTAATGGCAGTCTGAACAACACTGATCCGATTTTTTTCCAATCCGACCCAGGCCACTTGGCTATGTGGTCGTGAATCCGATACGAATCTGATCTTTTCAAATGCGACCTGTGTCTGAACGGCCGCGTTGGAAATTATCCAACCTGAACGTCATCAATACCCAACAAACGTCACTATTCTGCGTCTTGCTACATAGAAGCGGCAAGAAAACCAACAACCATGGGAGATGATGATGCGGAGAGAAGTATTTATGTTTAACCATATTGAAAAGATTGAGTTTTAATGGTTGTGAAAAGACCACTAGATGCGCGCCGCCACTACCAGCCATGTTTACTTCCGAGAAAAGTAAACATGGCCTGTGATGTCATTGCATCCTCTACTGCGCATGCGGGACACTTGCGTGGTAGGACTGCAGTTCACACAGGAGATCACATACAAGTCGCATATATTTGGAAATATGAACGGCAACGCAAAAATATCAGATTTCGCAAAAAAAAAAATAAAAAATCGGAATTGGGCATTAAGGCCTGCAGTGTGAACCTAGCCTAAATGTCCCTCTAAGCTACGAAGCTGCTGTTCCTTTAGCTAACGAGGTCCGGTTCAAAGGATATTTCTTGTTCAGCGGGTCGTCCGTTAGAAGCCGGAGCTGCAGGGTGCATTTAGAAATAAGTTCATCCAATTGCTCCTCAGCCTTTGTGAGGTCGCACACTTCCTTCTGCAGCTCCTTGTGCCGGGAAACCAGGTTGGCATCAATTCGATTGCCACTGCAGAAGGTCACACAGATTAGAGGTTAACTGTGGGAGGCTGTTTTCAGGAGCTCTATCTAATCAAACTTTGATCTATCCCAATGTTTTCTGTGGTTAATACTCACAGCCATTGGATGTTGTTCTTGGACTTCTTGGAGATGAGCTGGATTCCCTCCAGGACGTTTGTGATATCGTAGATGCGCCTCTTCTGGACATCCAGGACCTGAGAGGCCCAGTTCAGGTCCACCACGCCGTCGGCCGACTGGGACAGCAGGTCCAGGAACCGCTTGGTGGTCAGGTTTAAGGACGTGTCGTAGCGGGACTTTTCCGTCGAGTTTCGAGGAACTGCCCAGAAAAAAAAAAAAGATAAAAACTGTTCTTTATTTTTAGATTTGGGACGTTTATTTAACTGATCGTCTGCAACCGGACAAACTTTCTTAGAGCTTCTGCTTCTTTAGTTTCAGAATCCTCATCAAAACCTTTACCATTTCATCTTTTTTTATATCAAAACTTTAAACATCTGCCTGACCAGGTTATTCCTAAACACCGAGTAAAGTCTAATTAGGATGAAGGCTTACAAGCATTAGGATGCTAATGCTTGTAAGCCTGAATTACATTTATATTCATTATGTTTCGATGCCTCTAAGGAAAAGCTCAGGAGGGAGGATCCACCAACAGGTCAACTAGCCATGAACTTCCCAAATCTGGGCTTCATGGAGGAGAAGAAAACCAAAACCTGTGTCCCAGCAAAGAGAAGTCTGGAAATCCCTTTCATGAACCGTGTGACTTCACCGTGGCGTTAAAACTAAGCAGGAGGGAATATAAATGGAAAATTATTAGTAGATATTTCAGGACCCCAGATGTTGTTGCCAAGATGGATCCTAGAGTACAGAGCTTGTGTTGGAGAAACTGTGGCCCAGCGGTCCCCAATCATACACATATTTTTTGGTCATGTCCCAAACTTAAAAACTTTTGGGATGAGGTGTACAGGAATATGAACCAGATCTTCATGGAGATTATACCGAGGGATCTTACTGTTGCGGTATTTGGTATTATACCGGAGAGTTTGCAAGGATGTGCCAAAACTTATCTGTTGAATGTTCTTTTTACAGCAGCCCTGAAATGCATTACAATCAGGTGGATGCAGTTGGAGCCTCCTTCCTATGACTTATGGGTACAAAAAGTAGGAGAAATGTACAAAATGGAAATGATAACCTACTCATTAAGACCTTAAAAAAACCACCTTTAGCCTGCGCTGGGGGCCAGCAGGAGCTATGTTGATGTAAATAAGCCCAACAAGTTTGTCTCTTGGCATATGGTGTTTAGCTATTCCGCCCAAAGTGTATCCTTATTTTAGGGTTTCAGGATGATGAGCCTACAAATTTGAGGCTGAGATCCTAAGATATCGAGCTAAGATGTTCATTTTATGGAAAACTGTATATTGTCTACTTTTGTGTTATGTACCATTTGTGTGTGGGTGTACAATTGCTCTGTAAAAAAAAAAAAAAATAATAACAAAAGTATAAGTTCTAAAAAAAACTAAGCAGGAGCTGGTAATGTGATCAGCTCAGTCATTTTCCTGCTGGTGGAAGAGTCAGTTATAGTAAATCAGCCTCACAGTCCAACAGTCTGTGAGGAAACAGAGGAAGAGCGCCTCATTACTTCTGACTGGGACTGTAGAAGCTTCCTGTTTGGCATGAAGGAAACAGCCAATTAGAAATTAACAATTAACCTAAGAAGAGTAAAGAAGGAGCATTGTTGAAGCTACCAATAGAATTCTGGCCTCATGGAGGAGGAAACAATTCCTCCATGGCTCCATGAAGCAGACAGAGCCACAGTCCCTCCAAAGGATCGAGTGCAAAGGAGGAGACTTAATTTAGACCTGCGAATGAATGACTCTAGATTTGACCTGGATTCGTCACATTTGATTCTGATTAACCAGAGGTTTAAGCTGTTTAATCTCCTGATTGCAGCTCTGACAGGTGAAGCACAGGATGTGGTTTTATGCTCAGGCGAGGTTTCCAGACCATTGGTTCATATCAACCTGCTATGGTTAGCTGTAGCTTGATGATAACGACCGCATAGATCTCTAACTAAACGCCACATTAAACCTATTTGGGTGATTTCTGAAAATTTATTTTAATATGCATCACGTCTTATTGTCGTCATGTCAGCTTTCTCAGAACACACAAGGTTGGTCAAAATAAAAGCACATCTGTTCATTTAGAAATGTAATAAAGATATCGAATCTTGCTAATGATTTCATACCAAAGGTAGCTGAGAAATAGGAGGTAGAGTGAACGGTGATCCAGTGGAAGAGATTTCACTGTTTCTCCTTGGATCTACCTTTCTGAAACCTCATCCAAACAGTCAGGTTATCCTGAGATATTTTCATTATCTATGCTGCTATAAGGTTGGGCTGCTGGAGGACAGGGGGACCATTTTTTCATCATTCTGCTTCCTTCTGTCTCTCCCATTCTGCAGTATTCGCCGTGTCTGTGAATACTGCAGAGACACAGTGATGGGTGTTCCCCAGCAGGGTGTTCCTGCTGGGGAACACCCATCACCTTATGTTCTCTCATTGTAGCTTCATCAGGTCTTTTCCCTTTGATTTTAACTCCATCCTGGATTGGAATATACTGTAAGCTGAGCTGCTGCCATCAATATCTCTGTCTATAGATGTTCGAGTAAGGGCTGTTTTTTCCATTGTAGTCCTGTTTCTTTAACTCCTTCATCCTATAATTAGAACTGGCTCGGAGCTCTTCTGTCTGGCTGTGTGTTTCCTTGAGCTCTGTGGAGCTAGATAGAAATTTCCTTTTGCATATCTGCTTCTTTCTGTAGGTCTGCTTCTGTCTCCTTGAACGCCAGTCAGTAACAGTGGAAGGCCACTGACACAGAGCCTGGTACCGCTGGAGGTTTCTTCCTGTTAACAGGGACTTTTTACACTCCACTGTAGCTGCATGGACGCTCAGTGTGAGGGATTACTGAAGAGTCAACAGCAAAATGCAAACAAAAATATCGCTTCAGGCTCATCCAGGAGGAGCGCGTCCTGCAGGCCAATGACTCGATGCAAACCACTATTTTTTTTCTTTTCAGAGACAATACAGTCAGATTGGTTCAAAGTTTCTGTAAAGTGTCTTAAGAGGAAATGTTATGAAATGGTGCTTTATAATTAAACTAAACTTAATTGAATTTACTTACATTTAATTGGAAAAATTATAAAATATGTCCAGAAAGAGATCATTCACCCTGTGGTGGAATTATCTACTCCGCCCGCCCAGCTCTATCTGGCACATTTCAGTAAAACTGTTGTTTACACAAAGAATTCTCTAAATTAAACTGAAATTCGATGAATATGCTAAATTTAGATGAGTTTAATGGACACAAAAATAGAATTTTTAAACAAACCTGCCTTCTGATTTGCATATATATATATATATATATATATATATATATATATATATATATATATATATATATATATATATATATATATATATATATATATATATATATATATATATATATATATATATATATATATAGGAGAAAACGCTGTGAAAATGTGAACCCTGCTGCCTTCGGATCTGACCTCCACTCAGACTCACTAGAGCACTTAGATGGAAGTGAGCACATGCACAAGGACCCCATAAGCAGACAGAAAGCTGCCTTGGAAAGCAGGGGTGGAGTCACCAGGTTCAGAAAGTTTCCTAAATGGTTGGTCTGTCAAGCCAACAAAGATTTATTTTTATTTTTTTGCTTTTTATGCTAAATAAAACTGCAAATTGCAGCTGCAGGTGGATTAGCACAACGTCTCATTGGCCCAATCTACTAGTTTGCAAATTACAAGGAGATATAAACATCACCTCCCACACATTTCTCCACACTTGGAGAAATGATAAAATGAAAATGTAGTGGTCTTAACAAGGAAAGAATCAAAACAGAAGATCTGGATGCAGCAGAAAGAAAAAAAAGCTTACCTACCCAAACTATCCTTAATTTAAATATATAAAAACATCAAATAGAATAAAACAAAACCCAATGCACTGGCTGTTGATGGTGTGTTTGTGACTATTGTACAAAACCTTTAAAGTTGTTTTGGAAATATTTCCATTTGGACAATGACTCGGATCCATTCTGGTACCATTTTAAAAGTCATTCATAGAAAACTTAGGGAACATCTGGACTAACACGTCTTTAAGGCGTCCATGAAACAGCTTAATTAAATTAATCAGAGTTAAAAAGCTACATCATAATTCCTTTTTTTCAGTTCATAATCCTTCTACGTGGAGCTAGACTAAGTTATAAAACTCTAACCCAATAGTTAGAGGTGATAAAGTGATGATGTGTGGGGTGAGAATAGACAGAATGGTTGTTATTATAACCCAAACCACTGAGCCCAGCAGAAACAATGGAGGACAGGCTGCTGATCAGGTTAAATAAAGGAGCAGCTGCTGTTAGAACAATGACAAAAGGCTGATGTATATGTGGGTTGGAACACAGATGAATGCCCCTCTGTGATTTTTTATTTTTTTTTGTGTATGTGTATACCTCTAGGAGGAGCAGGTGTGGAGGGTGTAACTTGGCCTGTGGTTGGTCGTGTAGTGCTGACATACTGATGATCGCTATCCAGGTCCAACTTCCTCTTTACCTGATGAGACGGTTGGATGAGAAAAAATGTTTTATAGTGTTATTACATGGTATTAGATTATGTAAAGCAGACACCGAAGGAAAACAGACTCTATGCAAAATAAGATGCCTTCAAGCAACAGATGGTGAGGTTAGGAGGAGCTCTGCTGCACAGAAGAGCATGAAACTCTTAATTCAACCACTTCCCTTCTAACTCTTTCACTTCCTTCTCCCCCGCCCCCCACTCGTCTTACCGGAGGTCTCCCCAGGATTGGCCGTCTCTTGTCCTGGACCCCAACGTCAGCGGGGCCCTGCGGCGTGGCAAACAGCAGGATCTCCCCTGTGCTGCTCGGGGCGGCGGCTGGGTGGAGTCCCTCATTGCTGGGGCTGGTGATGATCACTATCTGATGGTCCTCACCCAAATCAATACCTCCAGAGTTCAGCAATGTCTCAAAATCTGCCAGCAAATCCTCCGACGTGTGCCCTGTTATCAGAGTTTCTGACATGGTCCCCCTTCACTAGAATCTGGACGTGCTGAGCTGTGACACACTGCAAAGCTGTGGTTGAAGAATGGATCAGCTCCTACTGGCATCTGCAGAGTCCTGAGAATGTTCTGCTGCTAAAGGGACATTTCTACAGGATGTGTTCAGAGGAGTTCAGGGCCAGTTCCTCAAGAGCTGGTTACAGTTTAAATGTTTATGGCTTCAATTTAAAGCTAGAACTAAATAAAATGAAGATCAAAGATGAAACAAAAACACAGGATGTTCTACCAAACTGAAATTGCCAACTGAAGCAGGAAGAAATTGCTTAATTGCATAATACGTCACACGTCTACAGGCTGAGAGGGAGAAATGTTATTAAATATATTTTTTAAAAGCGACGCAGGCAGTAAGAAAGGCAGGTGATGATCGAGTTTGCTCAGGATCAAGCTAATCTTTTGTTTTCGTGTCTCCTGTCAGCAGAGTCCGGCCGCGGCCTGCCCTGCTAACAGGCTAACTTCTAGCCCAAAACCACAAACACTCCCACAAGTTCAGCTAAATGAGCCAGTTAGCAACTAAGCTAGCACTTTACAACCTTAAAGCGACATTATCTTATTTTACCTGGAAGACAGAGCGAAATTATCAAGCTAGGAAAACTTTGGAGCAGCCTACAGAAGTTAGCTTATCAACATGAAATATCTACAAAGCAGAAGCATCGCCGCGCGCCCAAATCATCTCCATCAGTAAATGTTTGAAACTAAGCATCAGTCAGAGAGAAAGTACAATAATTAGGTGGCAAATAGATATACAGGGTAAGTTAGCATGTTAGCTTTAGCCGCAGGTCCTCTTTACCCTCGTTTTGTTGGGGCACGCAGGAAGCGCTCCGTCAAAACATGCAAAATAAAGCGAATTAAAACAGCCGGAATCCACGCGTGTTCATCCACGCAGCAGCATGCGGGCCACGGCTCGCTCACCACGGGGTGCGGCCGGTCTGTGAAAGCGTCCCCGCAGCCCACTTATCGGCAGTTTTTTGTTGTTATTGTTCCAGCTGATCGACACCCAAACAAGCTGTTTTCGCGCGAAATCTTTTTTGCCGCGAAACCTGCACGTGGAGAGAAAGAGCGCTTCCTATTGGTCGAAAAGTGACGTTCTCCATGAGGCGATGATGCTGGGCTCTGATTGGTCGGTTCCGCTGCCTGTCACGTTCCCGAGCGTCGACTGTTCGATTGTTTATTACCAAGTATTTGATTTTTTTTTTTTTTGGCCAAGTAGACGAAGTAGTAAAGAGTTAATTTACTATATGTGTAGTTTGTCTGCAATCAGAAATTCCATAAAAAAATAAGCGGAAGTCCAATCATTTGTAAATTAACCCCGTTTTGTAGCAACGATTCATACTAAAATCAGTTTGTTTAGAAATATTCTTAAAGCATATTTAATTTTTAGCTCACGCGCTTTTAGGCAAATACTAAACGTTTCAATAATACTATAATTAAACTTGGACTTGTGGAAAAATTTGTTTAAAATGCTCTAATGGTTTTTCATAACGTGGGAAGTTCCCATCAAGCGGCAGGCATTGCTAGTCGAGCGCCTATTGCCTATCGGAGCTCTTCAAGATGGCGCAGGCAATATTTGAGGTGCTGGAAGGTAGTAATATTCCCTTTATTATTGCTTAATTACAAACATAGCTGGGCCGTTAGGGCTTATTTTGATAAATATGCTTTGGGATCTTTATGGAAGTCATAAAAGTATGTCCGGATCGTGGCTTAATATACATCATTGTAAACGTAGAGAAAAATATATCTGGAAGTGAGATGTAAACATCAGGCAGATGAAATGATTTCCCGTCTTTATCAAAGTCATTTTCTATCAGGTAATCAGTTTATAGTTTGCGGTTTTGAACGATTGATGTTTTTCCTGCAGTGATTTTAAACTGAAGCAGGATGAGGCTATAAATCTAAGAAGTTTGTCAAGCTGCGATTTTAGGCCCAGTTTGTTTTTGGTTTATTTTCTTCTTGGATCAATTTGATCCAAGGATGTAAGTTTGTGATGAAAGTTGGTGGTGACACTCTAAGGGTGGAGGCTGATGGACCTACAGTTACTCCTGCTGCAAAAATGAGCTCAACCATCTATTTATTGAATGCTTTCCTATTGTTGAGAACACAAGAGAAGCATAATACACTGTAAATGTTAGAGAGATGCCTTTTAGTGCATTACATATATAGGACCCAAAAACATTAATGTATAAAAAACAAACAACAGCTGATTCCGATGCTAAAATCGATAAATCATGCATCCCTAGTGTCAGGATTTGGTTAGGATTGTTGACCCAAAGCAGAGGCACGCGGAGGTCCATTTTTAGTAGATTTAATGAAGGGTAGTGAAACAAAGTCCATAACCACAGGCAACAGGAATCCAAAAATCCAAATTAAAAACAATGTCCAAAAACCAAACGAGAAATATTTTTTCTTGTAAACTTTCTGATGAACATGGAGATCTATTTTATTACCAAGTAAATTTGTTTCCCCTTTAAATCTGCAGCTCTTCCTACTTCTCTCTTTGCTCTGTTTAAAATATTTATGAACCGATTTACTAATATAATGATGCAAGAAACAAAATTTCAATATATCTAGAAGCTCTGCAGTCTGATTCTATCTGCACAATAAGAAAACATGTTAATTTTAACCTGTAACTGGGAGTCATGGTCCTCTGAGAAGCCCAGCTATTTGAACTAGTAAAGAAGAACAAACTATGTTTTCTCAAGCTTCTTGCATTATAATACTAACTTGTATAAACTTACAAGTTGTAACCATTTTTAGCTCAAAAAAGCTCTGTATGTCTAACAAAAAGATTTTTCAGTGACATGATCTCTTAATTTATTTTTAACCAACCCGTGTCCTAACTTTTACTTAAACATCAAAGTAGCTGCTGGTTAATATTCACTGAGTGCTGCTGTGTCTCTCCTCCTCCACGTAGTTACTCTGTACTCAGTGCAATGCGACCCCAAATCCAATATCTGAAAGCGATAGATCCGATGATGTCACACCGAGAGGTGGGACATGGGAGCAGTGGGAGAGAGGAAAAAAAACACGGACTGAAAACGCTCTGAACACAGATAGCTGCACCCAACCTATGTTACCTTTGGCTAAAGTAAATGAGCGCAAAAGGGGAAAAAAGTGGAAATTATTGGTGTTGACATGTCCACACCAGTCCTTCAGAAAGTTACGCCTGTGGTGTGATCGCTTTGCTTATTGCTTGTGACAAGATAACATAGTCTCAGTTAGCCTGCCGGAGGCCTGAAACGTACTGGAGAGTAAAGAAGAGGTTCACTTTACTGTAGGGCAACATTTCTAGGCTTATAAGCAGAGTGGGATGGCCTTCATCTAAGCTGCTTCATGGATCAGAACGGCCTAGTCAAAGTTCAAAGTTGCATCTAATTAAGAATCTGTTGCAAATGTTTTCTCTAGAGTATAGATATGATTTCTTATTGCAAAAAGGGGAAACATCTGAAGAGTAATTAACCCTTTATAGGGCACTCAGTGAGATACTTTTAAAGTCAAAATTTCAATCCAACAGTGTTATTGGAATCCAGGACAAGACCTTATTACCTTTGCAACATTAACCTCTTACACCCTAAGGGGGTATAAATAAATTTCTGCCTGACAAAAACACACAAAAGTAAATAACTTATAGCCTCAAAGCTATTAGATTTAAGAAGAAACTTTTGGTACCTCTGTAAAGGTAAGATGTCATGAATGGTTTTCTGGTGTCAGCACCATTGTAGCTTTGACCCTGCCTGAAATATTAGGGACAAAATACTAAATGTTTTGCATTTTTTGAACCTCGCCAAAATTTTCTTTGAAATAAACATTGCAAAACACTACCAAAATATTATTTATAGCACAAAAAAGTGGTACAGACTTTTAAATCTAAATGTTGTGTAAAAATATACCAAATTTGGACTCAATCAGATGAATCATAATTATTTTAGAATGGTATTAGTGAGAAATTTCTTAGGCGGGGGGGCCATTTTGGCACATTTATCCATAAATGTCACCAAACTGTGCCAAATGTGTTTTTTACATCAATACTGGGGGTTTGTTAAAATTACGAGGTCACGTAGCAGCTGGACCCACCGACGGGTCCATAGGGTTCTAGGGGTTAAAAAAATCTGGATCTTTTGATGGCAAAAATGATTGTCAATGTAATAACAAGAAACGCCAACCTTCTCGAATATATTAAGAATAATAACAAAAGGGCTTCTATAAGAAATTCATGAAAAACACTCACAGAGTGAAAGAAACACTTTTTTTTTTGTCAATTTGTAAGGGGTATGCAAGTGATACAAAATTTTAACTTGTCCTATAAAAGGTTAAATCTTTCCTTTCCACTTCTACCTAAAAGAAACCTAAAAACTACTTCTTCACTTTATCAGAAGGTGCATCATCCTATGGAGACAATGGCTTTTTTTGGGCTTTGACTTCCTCGTCCTTTTTGTCTTCAGGCATGGACAACCAGACAGTGCTGGCGGTCCAGTCTCTGCTGGACGGCCAAGGAGGAGTTCCTGATCCAAACAACCAAAACGTCTCAGCGACGCCTGCCATCCAGCCAATGGGTATGAGAGATCATAACTGAGATCAGAAAACTGTTTAAATTTCCAAGCTTTCCCTGATTCATTTGATTCTTAAGGAAGATCTGCATTTCTGAAACACACCTGAGTTTTACCAATTTTTTTCTGTTTTCATGATGACCTTCATTCTCAGTAAACAGCCGCAGAAAATGTAATTTCCTAAAATTTAAGTTCTTAAACCTAATTGAAAAAAAAGGCATTTCACAGTTTTTTTTCAGCTTCTAAATCTTTTTTACTTTTGATATTCCAGGTTCTTGAACTGGGTTCAGTTTAGACGCCTGAACAAAACATTTTCACACACAAAGCTTAAAATGATCATAAACTATGAAACAAATTCCTGTCTAGATTTTCTATGAATTTCATATTTAAATCGGTTAATTTTGCCAAGATTTAAGAAAAAAATGGAAATAGCCCTTTACTTCCCTGTGGGATCTGAAGCCAGGTTCAACCATGCATGGTTCCATGGTTAGGGGGACAGAAAAATGACAGCTAGGTGAAAAATCTAAGCTGAAAAGTCTACAAATCAAAGAAAAATGTTTGTAGAAATTGTGGAGTAAAAAATGTCTGTTCTGAGCCTCACAGGCTCCAAACGAAAGTCATGAGAGATAAGAATGAGTTACAGCCTCCTTCATGGCATGAAGTGGAGGACTGTTGTTATTAGGAGATCCGTCTGGTCAGTAGAGACTGACACGGGAGTGGATTTTCACTCCTGTCCCGTCCCGATCCCGGGCCAGAGTAGAAATCTAAATCCTGTCCCGTCCTACTCCTGGTGAAATTACTCCCACTCCCATCCCGCTCCCATTCAGAATGACTCCCGCTCCTGCACCACTCCCATTCTTGTTGTCTTCATTAAGATTTCTGCCAATACATTGAATCTGAATTTCTATGAAGGGTCAGTTAAGTTCATGTTTCTAACTGTAGTAACTGTTGGTCCCTCCATTTTTGTTTTTGAGAAAAACTCAGAGCGGAAGCACTGTTGGTTTTTGGGTGGTGTAGTTTTTTTGACTCGCATTATAGCGTAGGCTTCAAGGAAAAAAACTACAAAATGGCGGTGCCAGTACTGGATTTTTTTTCTTTCTATTTTATTTTATTTTTTGGCATCGATCCTAGTTTTTTTTAGTTACTATTGGTTTGCTCCCGCTCCCGTCTGCTCCCGTTAATGTTTAATCCTGTACCGTCCCAATCACGTGGTCGTTACTAATACTGACTCCCATCCCACAGGAATCCCACAGGAATCCCGTGACCCGTGGGATTCCCGAAAAAATGTCAGTCTCTACTGGTCAGTGAAAGATATATTAACCTAACAGGGAATGGCCCTGATGAACTCAAGTTGTTTTGCTTCAATGTTCAAGTGTAAGAAAGTCCTTTATGTAGGGGATGGGTTGGTTCCAATGGGGGGAGTGTGTCTGTTGGGAAATTGTAAGGTATTAATGTATGTGCTGAGGTCGCCTCAGTCAGAGCTCTTTCTCTCCATCTGAGGATGTTAAATAAATTTGAACCTTATTTCTTGCAAGAAATGCTTCTGTCTCAGCTTCCTAACTCCGAAAAATAAGTAATTTGAAAAGAAATCAGATCATTCAGTGTGACCTATTTTTCCTTCTTATCAACAAACCGCAGACGTATTAAAGGAATAGTACACCCAAAACATGATTAGCCTTCATTTTCTACTCACCCCCATGCTGAACAACACCCTGGAGTACTTTTTTGATATCTCAAATGCATCTGGAGATCTGGGAGGCTTCTTGCTGTCTGCTGACATTCAAATAATGGAGGTCTATGGTGCCCGAGGCAGAAAGGTCCATAAAAGTCCACAAAAAACGTGTCAATATTCCTCCATACTGCTCGTCCAATGTATTCCAAGTGTCCTGAGTGGGTAGCATCCAGAATTTACTCGAAACAAAGTCATTTAGAATGTTTTTAGAGCATAAACAGTGGTGTATAGGATTTCCTAAAAGCGCGTTCACGAGTCTACGGAAACCGCGGCAGACCAAACCAGATGAAAGTGCGCATTCAGCTCGGCAAAGAACTCATGCTCTTCCTCAACACTGAAGTCCTCAGACATTTTTCTTTCGTTGTTTCTTTCTTTGCACAGGTAAACAGCACATTTCTTCTTCTACGCTTGCATTATCGGCAGAGCAGACGCTGAATGCGCACTTTCATCTGGTTTGGTCTGCCGGGTTCCGTAGTGTCGTGAACTCGCAGGCGCGCGATTTCAGGAAATCCTATACACTACTGTTTATGCTCTAAAAACATTCTAAATGACTTCGTTTCGAGTAAATTCTGGATGCTACCCACTCAGGACACTTGGAATACATTGGACGAGCAGTATGGAGGAATATTGACACGTTTTTTGTGGACTTTTATGGACCTTTCTGCCTCGGGCGCCATAGACCTCCATTATTTGAAAGTCAGCAGACAGCAAGAAGCCTCCCAGATCTCCAGATGCATTTGAGATATCAAAAAAGTACTCCAGAGTGTTGTTCAGCATGGGGGTGAGTAGAAAATGAAGGCTAATCATGTTTTGGGTGTACTATTCCTTTAAGACCAGGACGCCTCAGTCACTACCTTGGACAGGGTTGTATAAAATACTCAGCTTGCCGTTGTTTTCCGTCTGGCCTTATCTGGGTTTTTTGGTTCTGTTCAGATGATGAAGATGTCTTCCTGTGTGGAAAGTGTAAAAAGCAGTTTAATTCTCTGCCGGCCTTCATGACGCACAAGAGGGAGCAGTGTCAGTCTGGGGCCCCCTCCCTGTCCACCGTGTCCCTGGCCTCCACCAATGCCTACGCACCGGTCCCCTCAGTCAGCTCCGTCCCCCAAACCTCTGCTAACAGACAGGTGAGTCCAAGGAGCTGGAGGCTGATTCATGTGTGGGTCTGTTGATGGTTCACGGGGTTTAATTAAAACGATAAATAGATTTGTTTAAATGCAGAATGTAAGGTACGGCGGAGGATCTGGGATGCTGTGGGACAGTTTCTCTCTTTTTAGGAATTTTCTTAGTAATAAAAGGGAAAACCAGTAGAAACTGTAGAGCATGTAGACACCTCTAATTCTTCACACATCTCACATATTTTAACATTACAGTAAGCAACCTTCCCATGCAGATTTTACCTACTTGTGTTTGAAAGACTGTCATTATCAAAAGCTCTTTGTTTGGCAGCCTGTCGATGCACGAAAATGCGCTTTTTGTTTTGAAATAGATCCATACCTATCTCTTTATTAGTCTTTCAATGTGTTACACTAGAACATTATGGAAGCAAATTGGTCCCAGTTTTCTAATTTAAATTAATTAAATTGAAAATAAAGCTGAATTTGATGACGTATGAATAAAGCTAAAATTTATATCATTCAAAATTACATTTTTATATTAGCATTTTCTTCATTAAAGCTGTTTCATTTATAGATGAGTTAAAATAATCAATAGGATCATGTTTTATACTTAACTTTCAAAAGATGTCTCAGATAAAATTAAATGTTATAACAGAAATGTTTTTTAATTTTAAACTGTTAGCTGCATTGTTTTTATTACAGACTAAATTAAAAGCAGAAAATTCAAACTTAATTTTTATTTCCTTCTCCAGGGCTGCTCATTTGGTTACTTCATTTAATGTTGAACAATTCTTTTTCAAAAAGATTTTCCAGCAAAAAGTGGCCAAAATAAAATTGATAAATGTCCAACTTGAAAACATAAATGCATTTACAGAAAAGCTTTTTCGTTTTACAGTCAAAGCTGCATTTTTTGACTCATAAAGGACATTTCTAAAATATCATCCAAACTGCTTTTCCATTTTTTTCTGCTTATCATGTGACGGAACTCCAGAGAAAACTAAGAAGAAGAAATATATCTATTTTTTTTTCATGCCCAAAAAATGGTGAATTTGCGGTTCTAAGCAGCGCAGCAAAGACGCTTTAATGGCAGCTTGGACCTGGATTTTACAGAGTGCGTTATGGTGTCGATGTCCAGGAGGATGATTGTCCCACATTGTGGGACCTGCTGTCCCACAGTGGGGTCGTGGACAGATGGAAGCATGAAGGTGACCTTCATCCAGACGCAGCGCCTGGAAGACATGGTCCTGGTGAACCTGTATTTCTGGGAATGCATTTTAATGAACAAATCTGTCATCTCAAAAGGAAATCTGGGAATTTTTGCTGGGAAACCTTTTTGTAAATAAAATGTTAAACCTTCCTTTCTTAATCCCTTAAACAGACCTGAAGAACACATATTTTATTATATATATATAAGTCAAAAAAAGCAGCCTTATTTTAAAAATGAATTCAATTCAGTTTATTTCTATAGCGCCAATTCACAACACATGTCATCTCAACACACTTTATAGTTCAACCAGATCATTCAGTCACATTGATTCAAAGTTTTATATCTAAGGAAAACCAGTTGAGTGCATCGACTCATTGACTTAAATGCATCTGCCCCATCTTTTTTTTAAACATCTGAGAACTGAAGGTGGTTAAGATCTAATCAGCAACAGATCATTTTATCCTCAGCAATAATAAAAAAAACAGTTTCTGCTGAACAGCACAATAACCTCATTGTTCCTTCGGTTGATCTGATCAGAATGATACCTGCAGACGGTGTCAAAATATTCAGAAAGTCTGCTTCTAAGTGTTTGCATCCGTTTTGGTCCTGCAGGTATCGACCTACATCACCGTCCCTCCGTCTCCTTTGACCCACACTCTGGTCCAAGGTAACGTGCTGGTCAGCGATGACGTTCTGATGTCGGCCATCTCAGCGTTCACCTCCATCGACCAGCCCATGGCGGCCATGCAGACGCCTGTTCAGGTATCAGTGAAAGCTGCTCCCTTCTGAATGAAGCTCATTCTTAACATTTCATTATGTTTTTTGCTTTTATTGCAGAGTAACCTGAGCATGCACACAGCAGGGGTGTCCTATCTTCAGCACCATCATCACCTCCATCACCATCATCATCATCAGCAGCAGCAGCAGTCCCACCCCCTGCCAGCTGGACAGCACCCCCAGCAGCCCCTGGCCTCCCAGGTCCCAGTGAGCCACAGCAACTCGGTGGTGCAGGTTTACAGCACCATGCCCCACATGGCAGGAGCTGCTGCTGGGGGTGGAGGTGGGGGAGCAGCAGAGATCCATGCATTAGGTCTCCCAGCTTTCCATCCTTCTCAGGTGAGTCCGTCCAGCCATCTGGTTCCTAAACATCTTCCCCACCTTCACATCCCAGCTCCTGTGGTTTGGTTTCCTTCTGCCAGGTTCCTGGACAGTGTGTGGAAGGCCAGGCGTTCAGCAGCGCTCCTGTCTACAGTCCTGGGAAGCAGGGCAGCAAAACAAAGAGCTGCAGCAACAGCAGCAGCATGGGGGAGCTGGGCGACTTTGAAAAGGTCATCATACCCAAACAACCCAGGAGCAGCAAAAAGAACACAGATGGAGCAATAGGTGAGGAAATGGAAGAATAAATCAAACACAGTAGCTTAGAAACATATGATCCCACTGATGCTGCCTCCACCGTGCTTCACTGTGGGGATGGCGTGGTCAGGGTGAACTGTGGTGTTGGTTTTCTTTTTTTATAATTTTTTTATAAATTCCATCTGTTCAAGCCATTTCCGACTTCATTCATAAATCCAAACCTTCCACATGTCAGCTCGATCCTCTCCCGTCCACTCTGGTTAAATCCTGCTGCTCTTCATTTGCTCCTCTCATCACCAAAATCATCCACTCTTCCTTAAGCTCTGGTTCAGTCCCCTCTGCACTCAAAACCGCTACAGTCACCCCAATTCTGAAAAAACCTGGCCTGGACCCCACCAACTTCAATAACTTACGTCCCATATCCAATCTACCCTTCATATCCAAAATTCTGGAAAAATCTGTTGCCTCCCAACTCCACAACCACCTGATGTCCAATAATATTTACGAACAGTTTCAATCTGGCTTCCGTCCTCTGCACAGTACTGAAACAGCACTCATCAAGATCTCTGACGACCTCCTTATGGCTTCTGACTCTGGACTACTTTCCATCCTCATTCTCCTGGACCTTACAGCAGCCTTCGACACCATCTCCCATGCCACTCTCCTCAGTCGACTATCATCCATCGGTATCAGCCGCACCCCTCTAACCTGGTTCACTTCATACCTCTCAGATAGGACACAGTTCATACAACTCAAATCTCATAAATCCATCTACTTCCCTGTTTCTGCTGGTGTGCCCCAAGGTTCTGTCCTGGGGCCCCTCCTGTTTATTATCTACATCCTCCCTCTTGGCTACATCCTCCGTAAGCATCATATCAAATTCCACTGCTACGCGGACGACACCCAGCTCTACCTTTCTACTCAACCATCTGCCTCACTCCCACCAATCTCCCTCACCCTCTGTCTCCAAGAAATCCATTCTTGGTTCTCATCCAACTTCCTCAAATTGAATAGCTCTAAAACCGAAGTCCTCCTAGTAGGCACACCTCACACTCTCTCCAAAGCTAATAACTTCTCGATTACCATCAATGATTAAACTGTCCTCCCCTCCCCTCAGGTTAAGAGTCTGGGTGTCGTCCTCGACAGCACCCTCTCCTTCCAGTCCCACATTAACAACATCACCCGGTCTGCCTACTTCCATCTGCGTAACATCTCTCGTCTCCGTCCCTCCCTCACTCCCCAAACTACCGCCATTCTTGTTCACAGTCTCATCACTTCACGCATCGATTACCGTAACTCACTTCTTTTTGGCCTTCCAAACAAGTCCCTCCAGAAACTACAGCTCCTCCAAAACTCTGCAGCACGCCTGATCACTCTGACTCCCATTTCTCATCATATCACTCCCATCCTGCAACAACTCCACTGGCTCCCCATCAAACAAAGAATCATCTTCAAACTCCTCCTAACTACATTCAAGGCCCTCCACAGCTTGGCTCCATCTTACATCTCAGATCTCCTTCACGTTAAAACCCCCATCCGCTCCCTAAGATCCTCCCACACCTTCCAGCTCTCCGTTCCCTCGGCCCGTCTGGTCACAATGGGGAACCGGGCATTTAGTCGCTCTGCTCCCCACCTCTGGAACTCCCTCCCTCCGGATCTCCGTACTCTGGACTCCTTCCCTCTTTTCAAATCCAGACTCAAAACTTTCCTGTTCAGACAGTCCTATCCCATCTAGTTCTTATGCATCACTCCAATATTGTTCTCTTCCTTTTCTTCCCTTGGTTTTATTTTACTTCCTGCTGTTTTGTTTTCTGTGGCATCTTATGCTTGTACTTTTTAGCTTCCTGTTTTTAATGTTTTTATCTGCCTGTACAGTGTCCTTGGGTGTTGTGATAAGGCGCTTTCAAATAAAATGTATTATTAGACCTAGTAAAACAGGGCATATAGATGTATACAGTTACTAAAAGCAGGTTTGTTGAAAAATACTAATATTTTGAAATCATAACCCTGAATACGCAAAAAAAGCCGTCCAGTATAAAGAAATTAACGTCTTAAAGCAAAACCAAAGAAAACAGCGAAATAAAAACAAAATATTTGAATAACAACTAAAAGTAGAAGTTAACTTGAACCTGCTCTAAGGACGTACACAGGTTCATCAACAGTTCCTCTACATAGAAAATCAGGACCACATGGATGAAAAAAGATCACAGACATAGATGAAGCTAATGTGTTGGTTTTGTGGTTAATTAGATGGGACAGTATCAGGCCCCAGTCACTGTATTATTATTATTATTGGTGGGCATACATTTTTTTTTCTAATCAAGATTAATCTCACTTTAATCTTGGAATTGATCTAGATTAATCTCACTATAATCTTGGAATTGATCTAGATTAATCTCACTATAATCTTGGAATTGATCTAGATTAATCTCACTGTGATCTTGGAATTGATCTAGATTAATCTCACTGTATTCTTGGAATTGATCTAGATTAATCTAGATTAAAATGGCTCATTTGAATTCTGTCAAAGGCATTTGTGATATGTGTGTGCTACCTAAATAATAAGCAAAAGTAAGTCCTGGAACAGGTTTGGAACAAGTATGAAAACCTATCTGTAGAAATGAAATGGGCTGAATAATTACCACAAAAACTACATTATAAAAAAGTGTCCCACTTTACCCTCAAACCAAATCAATCATCAAGAAGCAAACATAATGTGGCTATCCAGTCAGTGAGGAGATTGTGCTGACGGGCTTACCTTGGTTGTACTAAAACATTGTAGTCCACTCGATGGGATGGAAACGAATGTTTCCTCCGTGTTTTTTCATCTGGAAATAAGTGGGCATCAGTCTGAGAAGCATGAAATGACGGCAGATCAGCAGATGAGGTCTAAACATGTCAGCGGTGATGATCTTTATGGACCATCAAACATGTCCATAAGTCACTGTGGAACGATGCTGCAAACCTGAAGAGGAAAATGATGAGCAGATTTATTCTTACTCTGCCTGTTCACTATCGTCTCTCTAAACTTCTCTCCCCAGCAGAGCACCTGAAGGGAAAAGCTCAGAAGCTGAAGTGTAATTTCTGCGATAAGTTTTTCTCCAAGAACTTTGACCTCCAGCAGCACATCAGGAGGTGAGCTATCCAGCAGGATTCAGACACAAACTCAGCAGGTACTACTGTGAATGTTTTCACACAGAGCTGTGCTCTTTCTGCAGCCACACAGGAGAAAAACCCTTCCAGTGTATCGTCTGTGGACGAGCCTTCGCCCAAAAGTCCAATGTGAAGAAACACATGCAGACGCACAAGGTGGGCGTTTATTTCCAGCTTTTACCAAGAGCAAAATAAACCAGCAATATAATAACAAAGAGGTGAATTTTACGGTATTTGAAGTAAGTAGGTGACACCTGCTGTCCTCTGCAGGTGTGGCCGATGAGTGTGGCAAACAGAGTGACCCGACTGCCAATCTCAGTCAAGGTGGTGCCGGTTTCGTTCATTGAGGAGGAACGGATCGCTGACCAGCAGAAGCAAGGCGGCGGGGATCAGGATGGGCCGCAGCAGACGCAAACAGAACTGGAAACGGCTCAGAGAGGTAGAGTCAGTGTTTATCCAGCAGCACACTGGTTCTGTGTCTAAAACCCGACGCTCAGCTGAACGATAACAGCACCAGGGTCAGATTTCCAGCTCTTACAGCCAGTTCAATGCCTGGTTACAGAGGCGCCAGGCGAGGAGGCAGCAACTGAGGCCGAACCCGATCCAACCGCCGGCGGTGGGGACGACGTGCAGGCCGGTCAGCCTGGGAACCAGTCTGACCAGAACCAACTGTTCGAGACTCCAACCAAACAGATGGTGGTGATTGACAGCTCCTACCAGTGCCAGTTCTGCTCCAGCAAATTCAAGACCTACTTCCAGCTCAAGTCTCATCTGACCCAGCATAAAGGCGAGCAGGTGAGCGAAGGTCTAAAGCTTTCGCACAAGTTTAGGGGTGCATGTAGAGAATCTATAGCACTGACTGCTGTTTCACCACAGGTTTATAAGTGTGTGTTAAAGAGCTGCTCCCAGACCTTCCAGAAGCTGGATCACTTCCTGGAGCACATCCGGACGCACCAGGAGCAGCTGACGTACCGCTGCCACCTCTGCAGCAAGGTCTTCTCCTCCCTGTTTGAGTTGGGAGTCCACCAGTACTCCCACTGCTTCTGCCCGCAGCAGAACACGCGCAAGGAGACGAGCGTCTACAGGTAGGAAGGACGGGAAGGAACAAACTAGACAGAGACAGTTTAAATAACTACTGCTTAGGGATTGGCCCAACTAGAGGGATACTGCTCTTTGATTGGTTGTTGGTGTGAAAACGTATTGGATCATTATTCTGTCACGCCCCTCTCACAGACGAGCGGATTCAAATAAACAATAATTGATTTTCTCCTAATTATGCCATTGAAGAGCTGCTCAGCCAGTCTCAGCCAGAGCTGCCTGTTCCAGTCTGGTCTGGAGGCCCAATCAAGCAGAGAGAGTGACTGACTGGATGTCAGTATTTAACAGCCATCAGGTGCTTTCAATTAGCAGCCCATCTACCTGCTTCCTGAAAAGAACAAAAAGAAAACAGTGAAATGGCGACACCTACTGGACAGTAGGGGGAAGTCACAATTCTAAAATCCTTTAGTAATAATAAAGATCTCGTGTTGTTTAGACAAACATCTGAAACGGAATTTAAAATATGATCCCGTTGCCTTTACTGGAAATAAAAACAATGATCAATATTTTCACTGCTATAATACTGTATGTAATCAATAATAATTTTTATTCTAGAATAGAATAAAATAGAAAATCCCTATTTTCTATTTTAATTGGGAAATTCTGTTGTTTGTAGCAGCTAAAAGATAATAGAAAAAAATGGTAACAAACATAGAAAAACATTAGAAAAATGTACAAGAATAACATACTAGTGAAGATAAACAATAAAATACTGTACTGTAAAGTGTTTTTAACAATATAAAACTGTGCACATGGAGAATAAATAACCAATATACAGCTGTGGACATTTTTACAGTAAAGCATATGTTATGAATAGCAGCAACATCAGAGATGTGCAAAATGACAGCAGCGTGTTATTTAACTGACTAAGACAGAAACTGTGCAAAAATCAGCATGAAAGTAACAAAGTATTTAGGTTGTTGGGAACAGTGGTTGTTATAAAGTCTTCCAGCAGCTGGGAGGAAGGATCTGTGATAACGCTCCCTGGTGCATTTAGGGTGCAGCAGTCTGTCACTGAAGCAGCTCTCCAGTTCTGAAACAGCTTCATGCATGGGGTGGGAAACATTATCCAACAGACATGTTCATTTAGTTAGGATCCTTTTGTTTTCCACCTCCTGCGCTGAGTCCAGAGGGCATCCAATCACAGAGCTGGCCTTTCTGATCAGCTGTTCCAGCCGCTTTCTCTCAGCTACAGATGAGCCACAGCTCCAACAGACAGCTCCATAGAAGATGGCTGATGCCACAACAGAGTCATAGGAGGTATTTAGAGGTATTTGGAGTGTCTCCTGCACTCCAAAAGAACTCAGTCAATTCTGATACATCAGTTAAATAAAAGTATTAAAAGAAATCCCAATAAAGTTAAAGTTGTCATTAGCTTATTGTGCAGAGTTTATAGGTTTTGCTGTTCTGCTTTTACAGAGTAAGACTGAGAGCAGGGGTTCCCAAAGTAGGGAGCAGGACCCCCAGGAGGATCACGAGTTGTGGGATCGACTAATTTTTTTCAAAATCATTGCGATGTGATCCCTGAAGTATATGGAGGGCAAAAAAACAATATTACAAAAGGCATAAAAGTGAATTTCCCATGAAGTAAAAACATATACCGTGAAATAGGCTGATGCTCAATTTTTTATTTATTTATTTAAAGCATAATTAAAATATTAAATAGACAATTAAATGGCAAAATGCATGATAAATAAATATGTCATTGAACAACTTAATAAGAAACATTTAAAATTAATAAAATAATAAAATGTAATTTAAAAAATAAACATTAAAAATGAATATATTTACTTCATATTATATGGATACATTTAGAGTGAAGTCATTGAGTGAATATGTATTTTTGGGGCTTTTTGTATTGTTATTTTTTTGGGTCCCAGGCTGTAATGTTTAGGGAGCCCCGACCTAAAGGTTCATGCTAATAGATAAATTGGGCTGGCTGGCCTGGAGTCCGCTGCCGATCAAAGCTCACTAGTTTAAAAATATTGGTACCTAAAAAGAGGGGTGGGTGGGTCTTCAGTTTTCTAATTTTAAGAAGGAGGAGTGAGAGCCTTCTTTCCCCCAGCTGATGACAGTTATACAGCAACTAGTCGGGGAGGGGCAAGGCTGCGTTATTCTTCTTGGACCAAACCCAAATGTCTGCTCTTTTTGTGCTTAGAAATTCGTTTTTCGGTCTAAATAAAACAGAAAAAACATCAGAAGTATTGGGATTATATACTGAGCGGCCATGTTGGTTCTCTCCTCACCTCCTCTACTGTTCCTGTTCCAGATGTGTGAAATGTCAGAGCAGGTATTCAACCCAGGAAGCTCTGGAGCAACACCTGCTGACCGCCTCCCACAGCTTCCCGTGTCCACACTGTCAAAAGGTTTGTTTCCCCTCTGATGAGCTACGTATCTATATCTGCAGATCTATGAGGCTAAGGCAGAGCGGCGAGCAGCAAAACAAATTCATCAACAGATCTTTGGCACCTCGGCCTCTAATAAAGTCTGTATTTGTCTCTGATCTAATGTTTTAAAAATAGGTCACCTAAATATTTATTAGTAGAACCAGCAGTTTTATGATATTGCTGAAAATCAGAAAGGAATAAAATGTTTTTTTTTTGTTGGACAAACACAAAACTTCTGTAATGTTAATGTTGGAACATAACGTGTTTAACTTTTTATTTTAGACCAAAGAAGATTAGATCTAATTCTCTGAAGTCCCTTTATTGATCAGTATTAAATAATCTGCTGACTAAATATAATCCCATCTTGTAATTATTTTCAATAGTACGTTTTTACCTCATTTAAAACAGAATGTTATTTTCATAGCTATTGAAGCCAAACTGCTGCTGCATTTCTAGAGGATCAATTCTAGTTATTTAACTTAAAATATTTTTTTATTTCCTCTGCTGAAAATCAAACAGCTAAATAAAAACAGCTGATTTCTATAGCTGAAATGTGCTAAAAGTTTTCAAAAGATGTTACCGTTTAAAATGATCATCATTGGCTCTGATTCATCGATGATCTTAACTACACTAAAACAAATAATGGCCATCATTCCTTATTCTCCCTTAGTTTCACCACATGCTTTATTGCACTAAAATTGAGTTCTTGGATGCCAGATTTCTTTCTCTATTAGATAACCAGCACTATATTTGTGATTCAGTCACTAAGTCAGATTTCAAAGCAAACCAGAAAGTATTTATAGCTATAGAGTCACCTGATCGGTGCTTCTAATTGCGACTTCCCACAGAATTTGTTTAATTTTGAGACAGTTTTGGGTCAGTTAACAAACTCTCATTCTGCTTCAAACATTTCAAACTTTCAGTACATCTATCTCATACCTAAATGTCTCTTCTTTATAGAGTCTGTGAACAGGTGAAGATTTTTACCAATGTGTCTGACTTCCTGGTTGCTTCACTCTGAGTCACCATAGTGATCTGACTAGACCCGGCCTGCCCTTTTGATTGACACAGAAAAATCAGACTTTAGCTCCAAAAAGATAGGATAAGTAAAAAGTCGACATTGTATCGCAGCCTTTTAATCCGTCGCCGCTGTCGGTCCTCAGGTCTTCCCATGTGAGAGGTACTTCAGACGCCACCTGCCCACTCATGGCGTGGGAGGAAGATTCAAGTGTCAGATCTGCAAGAAGGCGTTCAAGACAGAGCACTACCTCAAACTGCACACTCGGATTCACTCAGGTCTGTTATTAAGTCACATCTAAAATATGTTTTCATTTATATGGAAAAGGCTGATTTAAAAGTCCTAAAATGTTTGTATTTATCCTTCATTTGAGGAAGTAAATAAGATGATCTGCCAATGAAATGCATATGTTTGCCCTTAATAAAAGATAATCAGATATTTATTCTTATTCTTTATTTTTTTTTCTTATTTTAAATGTAAATCATCTTATTCCATTGGTAAATTGTCCCACCTGCTCAAACCAAATGAAATACACTTATTTCAAGCATTGACTTCATTTTTGCAGAGTAAATCTGCTTAAATCGGCTTCATTTATAAGCTTGAATCTGATTCCAGGTGAAAAACCGTACAAGTGTTCCCTCTGTGAGGCGACGTTCAACAGAAAGGACAAAGTGAAGAGGCACATGCTCATCCACGAGCCGTTTAAGAAGTACAAGTGTCCCTTTGGGTGAGGCTCCTGAATGGGAAACCTATTTTTATTCTAGATCAGTTATTTACACTTTAGCTGATTTTTCCTGCTCGTCTCACTTCTTTCCTTTCCCAGGACACATGTGGGCTGCACCAAAGAATTTAACAGACCAGACAAACTGAAAGCTCACATCTTGTCTCACTCTGGTGAGTAAAGAACAGCCGTTCTGTTGTCAGATAAGCTAGATTTGGATCCTTCTAGCTGCAAGGGAACATGAATGCAAAACATCTGTGTTCCTCTCATGTAATCAGATGGAAAATGAAAATAAATAAATCACTAATCCTAGTAACTGAGTTTTCATATTGAGAGCAGTCAGCGGCGTTCTTGGATGCTAAAGTCAGGGTCCGCTTTGCCAGCTCAATTATTTAGACCAGGGGTAACCAATTTTAACAGAATTTAACACTTAAATAAAATGAGATGTTTATGCATCCATGTTATACATCTACCTTTTAAATAAAAAACTTAAAATAAAAAAAAAACAGAATATTTTTTCCATTTTAAAATGAATCTGAAGTGTTTTTTTGAAGTAGAGAACAACAATCGTTCAGTTTGGTATTTAGACAATTTCCTGATTCACGTATTTTATAAAACACCTGAACTGACCGTTAATTCAATTAATTCAGTTTATTTATATAGCGCCAATTCACAACACAAGTCATTTCAAGGCACTTTGCAATTCAACCAGATCATTCAGTCAAATTGATTCAAAGTTTTCTATCTAAGGAAAACCATTTGATTGCATCGATTCATTGACTCAAATACAATCCCTCTGACTAAGCATGCTTGTAGCGACAGTGGAGAGGAAAAACTCCCTTTTAACAGGAAGAAACCTCCAACAGAACCAGGCTCAGTGCAGAGCAGTGGGCGTTATGCTGCCCTGCAGGGCTTTAAACCTGGGTTTGCATATTTATCTTTGGATATGCTCATGGTGGAACATCCTGCTTCACAGCAGTACGTTGAGCCAAACATACTCTAAATGTGCAGGGTCATCTTTAAGCACGCCATTTCATTTTTCTGCCACAAGTTCACCGCTGTTCTTCCAGCAGTCCACACTTTCTCTGCTCTCTTTTTCTCATCATCTTCTTCTTCTTTCCCATCACCCGGCTTGCCACAGGTTTGCCTGCTGTGTCTAAAAGTAGCAGCAGCAGCAACCCAGACTGACAGCAGTCATTGGCTAATGTGTAGCACGTGTAGCCTGGTGCCTGCGCTCCACACGGCTTTACCGTATTAACAGGAGAAGCAGCGCAAGTGAAGTTAGACTCTGTTGTCGGACAGCATGCAGTAATTTATAAATGTTTTAAATCAGGTTGGGTCTGGATTAGCCAGCAGGTGGGTCCAGATCCGGCCCGCGGCCCGCTAATCATTGACCTCTGATTTAGACTTTAGGAAATGTTTTTGGGGTTTTTTGACTGGTATCATGGAAATTTATCGATTTTTAGAAAAAAATATTTTTAGATTTAGCCTTTTTCACTTAATCCCAGGTTTGAAAGGTCAATCTAAGCTTAAATATTCGCTGTAAGCTCCCCACTGTCACCACTTTGCTTGGTAATAGATTAAAATCCTTGAACATTTTATTTCCCTTTGACATTAATAACGTATTTTTGAATTGAATTGAGGGCGTCAATCATGAAGCAAGGTTTGTTTTGCTTTTCCTGCTTTGAACCCTCGTTGATTTTATGCTGGATTAACTTTGGACCTGATTAGATGGCGACTGATTGTATCGAACTCTCCTCACTCACAGGTATCAAACCCTACAAGTGTCTGTTCTGTCAGAAGGCGTTCAGCCGCAGGGCTCACATGATGGAGCATCAGCAGTCCCACACAGATAACTACAGGTTCAGGTGCTCCACCTGCAACAAAGGATTCACCAGGCAGAGCTACTACAGAGATCACAAATGCCCCACAGCAGGAGAGGCCATGGGAACAGAGGAGAGGACAGAGGAGGAAGAGGAGGGAGACGAAGCTGCAGGAGCGTCAGCGGTGGAGGAGCAGGAGGGAGAGCAAGATGGGAGGAGAAGCAGGTTCACTGAGAAAATATCTCAGACTGATGGAGAGGAAGAGGAGTGCTCTGAAGGAGAGCAGGATGCTGGAGCAGCGAGAGGGGAGGGGGCTGATGGAGGCTGCCAGGCCGCGGCTGATGGACAGACCCAGATAGAGGAGCAGGAGCAACATGGCGGACTGGATACAGGGAGGAACATCCAGAACAGTTTACAGAGGCAGCTGTGTCTGTAGTTCAAACCTGCTTTAGTTTTCCTGGTCCTGCTGCTGTTTTATGAAGGGAAACCGATCAGAGATGGCTGGGAAATAACTCCATATGTTTTAAATTAAAACAGTTTTAGATGTTTTATGGTTTTCCACAGGTTGGATCCAGTCTGCCTACTTCCCATTGCTGTTTACGGACTATAATAAAAACCACAAAAAAACGTAAGCTGCAATTCCACCCTTCAATGTTTATTTTCTTACACTAAAATTTGTTCACACACTTTCTATGCATTTTCAATTTTTTCTCTTTTCCTGGGGTCCGTTTCACAAAGCAGGTTTACCAAAAAATTTTTAGTTTTCTAAACCTGAAAACAGGGAAACTCTGACTTTTCCGGTTCATAAAGAGTTTCCTCAACTTTTGTTTTAGTCACCATAACATTCTCCACAGAGCTAACCTGGTCAGCAGCAGGTTTTCTTCAGTAAACTCAACTGTCCTCTGTCTCCGATCTCCCTACAGCCAATCACGCCCATTTATTTCCTGATTTATTACAATTTTTGTTTTAGTTTGTGCAAAAAAAAAAAAACATATCATTCACTAGGTCCGTTACACACATTAGGTCTTAAAAACATTGCTTGTCCGTTTGACGAGGATCTTATTAAAGAATGATCTACACTTTCTTACAGAGAATTACATATTTATAGGGAGAAGATTCTACAACTCATTTGACAGGGAATGAGATTACTTGTTTTTGATTTGTTTAATATGAGAGAGATATGGATTCTTTTGTTTTTATTTATATTTACAGGACATGAAGACCTAATGAAATTATTTTCAGATTACATATAAATAGATTAATTCTGTGGGGGAAAAGGAATCACTTGGGGGTTAGGATTATGATTCACTGAGAACTGAATAAGAAATCAAATGGGTTTTTTAGTAAACATACCATTATTCATAGACAAACTTGTGTGTACATTAAGGGTCGTTCACTTTTCGTTTTCACAAGTGTATTAGGCTATTAACCCCTGAAGGCACTCATGCCTTAATCTCAGTTTTTGAACGTTATAAAGGACTCAAACAGGATTAAAACTCTTTAACTAGATTTAAACCAAGTTTAGTTGAGAAATATAACTTGTTAACATGCTGGACTCATATCTACTTTGCTGTTAAAAAACATTTCCACTTACCTTTGATTTCTTTAATCATATCCAGTATGTGTCTCTCTGATAGGGTATGTCCTTATTTAATATCTAATCCCTGAATTTTTCTTTGCTGCCACAGGCTTATGATGGAGGCAGGAACTTAGAGTAATATTATCTAAACAGGCTGCCCCGTACATTGCTATTGTTTCCTCCTGATTTGTGCCTAAAGTGATGCAGAGGATTACTGATATCTTCATTAAAGGGATTTCTGCCTCAACTAATTAGACTCCTGAGGGAGATGAACTAAAACATTAGAATTCATATATTATACTATTGGTAGGAAATCTATAATTAATAGAGAGGTATACACATCTATATGACAAACAGAGCATTTTTAGGGTGTATTAAGTCTTTTTATCGATTTTAAAGAGTATTCATAAACACAAGTGTAAAAAACATACACTTCTTGAGGTCCCTTTTCAAATGATGACCTTTCAGCTCTATTATTGTATAATTTACTGCACATGGAAACTGAAATTGATTTTTTCGGTTTTATTTCTTGCAGGTTTTATTAAAGAAAGTATGTCAGTTAGTATTTAGCTGCATGGGTGTCCATGGGTTTCAGTCCTGCTACAATAAAGTAGGGAATGAAAAAAGCAAACAAACAGGAAGATTTAAGTCATTTATTAATGTGACAATTCTTATGTTACACCTCTTTCATTTACATAAGCAGGCAGAGAGAAAAGAAAATAGAGCGTTGCCTTAGACATCTTATTTAAAATCTTTTACAAAAGAAACTTTGTTATGAACAGCATTTACATCTTCTCATCCTTACTGGACTGACAGTGGTTCGGTTGGATAAACAGGCTTCTGGGAAATATTAAAAACCAAAAAAGGGCTTTTTTTTAATTGATTTTAAAAACAAAAAACAAGCATACTTTATGGCAATTCCACATCTGCTTGTTATCGATTCAAGAGTTATTAGAGGAGGCGACAAACTATGAGTAACAACCTTTCCTCCTGATACATTCACTATTTTCATACAGTAGTTGTTCTTTCAGCTGAAATTATGGATCAAGCTTCATACGTAGCTCTACTGCACTTTCTCCAGGATATTTCTGATCACTGGAGGATTAAAACTAAACAAACAAACTGAGAGCTCCTGCTGCGTTCCAATAATTTATCCTCTGCTGCTTCAGTGTTTGACTACAATATTCAAACAGGAAAAAACCTTCACATGTTTTATTCAATTTCAAAATTAACTACCTCAGCTTTAACATGAATCATCCAGGAAGGAGTTTGTTTTCAGATAAATTTAGTGATGATTAATGAAACACGATTTACTGCTTTCGTGATAAATAATAAATAAGAGATATAGTGTTCTTTACCTGCAGTCGCAGCACATTTATTAGCACCCCTGGTCAAAATAATAATTAAACTGAAAGAAAATATTTTAAACGTATAATTGAATAAAAAAAAAAATCTGAGCAATAAAGCCTTACTTTCTTGGACGTTCTGATAAAAATAGTTCAAAATTTGTCATATTAGTTGAGTTTTGAACAAGAGCCCCTAAATTGGCCTCTTTATAAATCTGTTCATAATAATGTGATATTTTCTGGCATTGAGGGATGCCAAAAAAGTCTATTTTAAACTTTCTGAACTTTAAATGGACCCTTTGCTTTGATAAAATAAGAATAAAGTCACATTTTTGTTAAAATAACGGTATTTAAAAAAAAAATGCTGTGGGTCGGTTTCTCATCTCGTAAAATCTGTGGTTATGTGACAAACTCAACCCAGGGGTCTCAATATTGTTCATATAAACACAGATTCTACCAATGTTCTGGTTTTCTCTAATATCTACATTTTTATTAACGCTATAACTTAATATAAAGCTGATGGCCAAATATTTCCCTGAGGTGCTCATTAATGTGCAGGTATGTCACATACAGCTGAAAACAAACTATAAATAGCAGAGGAGGTTTAATCACCATGAAAATAAACAATTTGAAGGAAATATGTTTTGGGGAAAAAAGGTGAGGCTGGATTTAAACATTACACACAATTATTGCTTACATTAAAACTGTATTTTGAAGTCTGCTGTAAGGTATGGATTAGTTAAAGTAAGGCTAGAAAACAGTTGTATATAAATCAAATGCTACATGTGTTTAAAGAGAAAATCAGGTTGGTTAAGAATGAGTTAAAAATGGCTCTAAGTATAAACAATATATTTGGCTTGGAGTAAAATTGGTCTGTTTCTAGTTTTTCCTGGGATTTTAAAGCAATTTGTTGATTTAATTAAGACTGTTTCTCTACATTTAATAGAGTGATTAAAGCTGCTGATAGGGTCATTAAGATTCTGCTAGAATACTCTAATCCATACTGTCCTGTTACACATCACAGTGTGCAGTCCGGCCCTATAAAACTAGGGTCAGATCATTGGTTTTTAACATTTGCCACCACCCCTAAATATAATGGAGATTCCAACACTGTTCACAATCATTTATCGGTTCACAGACTTCAGCGTGATACGATCCAGAGCACAGAACAAGCAGGAATCTCTGAAGCACCAAGACTGTTTGTTACCTCAGAATTAATTCAGATGAGCTTTTAGAAGGCATGTTAATGTTAAATGATAGAGGAAGATTCATCTTAATTATCAGCTTAGTCACAAATAAAAAAGCAAGTCTTTATCAAACCAAACAGAGTTATTTTTCTCTTTTGGAGGAACTTATCTGTGCTGAAAACAAAGAGACCTTTTAAATGTGGCCATAAGACTTTAACCTCAGGCTGACGACATGTTTAGGAGGTGAAAACGCTGCTGTTCTGTAGAACTCATATCATTTAAAGCCAGGTTTCCACGATTTAACTCACATTCTCAGAGATTAGTGAAGACTTAGATCTTGGTTTTCAAGGTATTTGAAACTCTGCTCCGAGTCATGAGGCGATGGGGAGCCTGTTGTGAGCTCTGGGAGCAATGAGTATCAATCACACTACTGTACATGCTGGCAGCGATCTCGACAATTCTCCTATTAAAGACACTCAAACGGAGCATGCACCGATGAGCATAAACACTCCCAAACACAAACACTCCCTGATTTAAACACTAACGCCTTTTTCCGCTGTGCACCTTAACGCATCGTCCTTTCACTCCTGTCCAAATCCTTCCGTCTCCTCGATGGCGAACATTAACTTCTCTTTCAGTTGTTCGTAGCTCTTGTAGGGCGGTAAGTCCAATCTGTTAAAGCTGGGAGCATAAAAATAAACACCTTAAGGTTTGAGAACAAATAGTTCCTAAACATCACAATCAACACAAACAGCTCAGGAGTGTCTGAGGTTTTTCTGTAGACTCACCATGTGTGACTCCTGGGAAGCCAGTTTTCCTTTCCCACCTTCTCAATGCAGAACTTCTGAGGACCGTTGCTTCCTATAAAGAGGAGAACTTCAGCTGTTTGTTCCCATGTGTTTCCATTGTGAACCTTAACCCTTAATTATAACACAAAGTAACTTTGACATCAGCTGTTTTTCAATATCTGGTTCTCCAGCTGCACTGAGGCAGATCAGTGGGAACTCCAGTGTTAAAACAGCATCGCCACCGGCTCCCCCTGCTGCCCTCAGGTAGAAGGTACAGGTCTATGAACCCAAACCGTCTGGAGCAAACTGGGCTTAACATCGTTTTATTTATTTAAAACATCACTCAAATAAGTCGACCATTGTTCATTATATTTGGCTTAATGTTGTGAATAATGGGCACATTTTATCATGGGTGTTTATGGGACTTTTGGAAAGAATCTGCACTTTATTTTATCTTTTAGCTGTTCCATCTATTATGATGTTCACAATAGAGGAAGGTTGACTATTTGAATAAAAATAAAAAAGAAGCAGGTAGCTAGGAGTATTAATCAGATGAAAAGCTCAGTGAAATGTTTAGACGAAAGGATCAGTTACCCATAAGGTCAGCGAAGCCTCCTCCAGGCAGACGACAAGTGCCGGTGACAAACTGCAGCAGCCTCATCCGCTTCTCATTGTCAAGCTCCTTCATGAACTGCAGGAAAAAAGCAGCAGGATTCAAAGTTTAACTACGATGAAGAATCAGTTACAATGGCTTCATCATGACAATAACTTGCATTATCCTAACAAGCGCAGGTACAATTTGAATACATTTCCCCAGATCAATAGTTTGTTATAAACATTATGGAGCTGTATTCAATTAAAAACATTTTAAATAACAACTTTGTTGATTGCTTCTGAAGGAAAATAAAGTAAATTATGCTTCATATAAAGGTCAGGTCAGGGAATGCCTCATAGTCAAGGGCCATTAGGTCGAACTGAAAAGGCTGCAGTTTTGAAGCTGATAGAAGAAAATTAGGCGTTAAAATTCAAAGTGAGGGGAAGTACAGGGATCTTTATATTTAATTAAGTTGCTGTACCAGTATTATAGTTATCTAAAGGAAAATGGGAATCTAAGAAAGCGTAAAGAAGGTAAAATATAAAATTAAACATCCTATGGAAGAACACTTCTTTCATCTTCCAACTTTCTCTTAGAATATTATTAACACCTTTACTCTTTGATAACAAATTTAAAAAATATTTTTATGTTTAGGATTTCTTCTAGTTTGAACTTCATTCTTAAAATCTAAATTTGATCATTTTTTGCTATTACAACCTTGAGAAAGGGAAATTTAAATTCACCACAAAGCATCAAACATCCACAGACATTTCTCTTCCCAGTCAAACTAACACTCCTTTAAAATGGCAAGAAACTATTTAAAAGGAAAGACTATTTTTTTAGTCCGTTATGATCTTGTGGTTCAGTAGGCTGAGGTAAAGAGCATGATGGCTTTTCTAGGGTTGCTAGCAGTTCTTACTGCATTAACTACCAACATAACGTTCAACAGCTGGTTGAAAATAAGAGTTCCCCAATAATCATTATTTAAAAGGAGAAAAATCCCTTTTGTTAAACGTGTGAACTACCAACAGAGATCATTGACCCCTTAGAGCAAAAGGAACTAGAAGAATGTGTTAAGGGGACTTCAAATGGTAAATGGTAAATGGCATGTACTTAGGAGACTTGACCAAAGCGCTTTACACTACATTCATTCACCCATTCACGCACACACTCACACTCTGATGGTGGCAAGCTACATTGTAGACACAGCTGCCCTGGGGCTCACTGACAGAAGCGGGGCTGCCGTACACTGGCGCCCCCGGGCCCTCTGACCACCATCAGTAGACAATGGAGGTGAAGTGTCTTGCCCAAGGACACAACGACACTGAAAGTCGGAGTCGGGGCTTGAACCGTCAATCCTTCGATTTTAGGGCAAACTCCTATATCCAACGGCACTGTCGCCCAATATCTGGTTTATTATTGTTACAAAAAGATAAATCCAAATGGAGACAAATCTGTTCGATTGAAACAAGATAAAAATAGATCCTCTTTTAAATGGTATCAGGTTTCAATGAATGAAATCCAGGCCTGCTTAAGGCAAAATACATGGATGTTTCAGACATCTACTTATCAACCTAAACTAGGACGGGTTCTGTGAACTTAAAGTCGTAGGGAAAAAGCTATTCCAACCGTTGCATTTGCAAATTCTCCTGAGTGGTGCACAAATTTACACGAGTGAATAAAGTGAATGTGATTGGTCGTTTATCAAGGAGGCAAGGTTGTTGTGGTGGAAGGTTGGCAAGCAAGTTTGGTTGTGGCCGGATTCTCTGAAGCATCTCGCTAACCAGTTAGCAACTTAGTGCTAGTAGCTTCCCAATGGGAAATTACATTGGAACCAAGTAGCACTAAATTGGTGACTTAGAAACGACACTGTCAAGGAACGCTATGGACAGAGGAAACATGCAAGAGGAGGAGAGTTTAGTGGTGGAGGTCGTGGATGAGTCTCCTCCATCATCCATCTTTATTTAGAGGAGGAAACTGGGGACAAAGCTGTTGTGGAATAGGACGCCAGGGCGGCAGAAGCTTGGTTTGGTGTAGAAGGCTTACAGCCATACATGTTTGAGCCCTTGCCTCGCAACGCTGCCAGTTCTGTTAGTTCTACGCCTGCTGAAGACACAGACGTCCGTGAACACTGGGACGGAACTCAATGGGAAAGGAAATTATTCTTATTTCTTAGTTCAGCCGTTGCGTATATTAGCTGTGACATATGAGTCAAGATGCTATGACTGAAAGAAATTTGATTGACAGATGACCTTTGATATATAATTGGCTGAATGTAGGTGTACAAGCTGACTTATAATTAACTGGCCTGCATAAGATAATGGGAAGAAAAAAAAAAAACTGATTTTAAGACTTATTTTAAAATAGAAATGTTTTAACTTTTGGGACAATATCATCTGATAAAGAGTACATTTATATACATGTTTAAGCCAGAATGATTTGACATTTAGATATGACTTGACTATAACTTTAAAAACTAATTCAAGAAAAATGTAAATCCCAATGTTTCCCACCAACCTGCCAGAACCAGACTATCTGTTTACTGGTCTTAGTGTAGTGTCTGTAGATGGTGTTTCTCTGCCAGTCTCCAAGATCAATCTCTTGCATTCCACACAGCATCACCTGTAAAAAGACAACTATTATTCAGAAAACCTTTTGGTGCTTCCTATAACATAAATGATATCTAGATAAGTGTGTTGCAGCTATACCTCTAACTCTTTAGCATCAAAATACTGCAGGTACTGCTGAGGAAGGATCTCATTAAAGCCTTCAAAGAACGCCTGCATCTGGTCTTCTACTCCTCGAAACAGTCGCCACTCTGCTACCAACCTGTAGGGGGCAGTAAGGAGGTAAACACACCTCAGCTCAAAAGTCTACCTGTGGAAGACGTCAGAACAAGAACATTTAACAACCCACTTGATGTACTCCTCCTTGTTTTCCTCTGTGACGGGGATGTCTCCTCCGCCTGGTTTCAGCTCATGGGTGGAGATTTCTCCAAGGATCTCCTTATCAACTGAGAAGAACATCTCTAAACCACAGTCCTCGATGTTATTATCCCTGACGTAAAAAACAACACATATTGGTTACAATGGTATCATTCACCATATAAGAGACTTTGTGTTGTGATAAACTTAATAAGTTCAAAGATAAATTATCCAACAGGGGAAATAATTATATTCATTGTGTTGATTTTATCAAGTTTTGCAAGGCAAAATGTTAATGAGATGATATTAAGAAATATGATCCCCTTATTGTGAGGGTAGAAACATGGCCTCACAAACATAATCTGATAAAAGGAGCTTCTTATAATTCTAATGGTATTGTTCACCCAAATTAAAAGAAGTCAAATTCTAATTAAGATAATAAAGGTCTGTTTCTCTTATTGGTGAATTCTAAAGATTCTCCACCTATATAACAGACATACAACAAACACAAGCCTTTTAAATTATACTCCCAATGAAGCAATTAAAGAAAATCAGAACATAAAGTTGGATTTAAAGTCAACAAAATTTCCTGAGCTTTTTATATTTTTGTTTTTAAACAAGATATTAACAAACTGAAACTACTGGATCATGGTCCATTAATATCTGAAATAAAAGATGACGTTGCTGGGTGGAGTTAATCCCCTTTATGACTCAAGAAAAGAGGCGGTCAAAGTTAATATTCTCCCACAGGTTTCATATTCAGCTCTACATCTCCCAGAGGAGACTAAGGATAGGAAAAAAAATTATATCACAATGTTTCTGGCAAATAAAATAATCTAGAATCAATTAATGAACCCTAAATTTACCCAAAAGGAAGGACTCTCCCTTGTTCAAGACATCAATATTAGACAGCACAAATAAAAAAACTTTAAACTTGTGTAACTGAATGAATAGAAGATTTTAATGATTATTGAATCAAAGGCCTCAGTTTTCTGAGTCTGTAATCTCTGATTATTCTTTGATCTGAGTAACGGGACTAATTTATATTATGAAACTTAAAAAAAACAATCCGACATCCAGTGGACCTTCTCCAAAGGATAGGATAGGATTCACGTTTTATACCAATTAACTAAGTGTCAGATTCAAAAGCTGGCATCAACGTTTTAAGATATCAAAGATCAATTCAGGATAAGAAATCAGGATTTATATAGATGTTGTAATTAAGGCATTACTTAGAAAATAATAGCAAGAAAATATTAATGTTGGATCAGACATAATAAAAATGTTTTTTCAATTTGCCGTACCAATAGAAATTAAATAGGAAAATGATTTTTAAAATCTTAGACTGGAAAAGAAAGTTTTTAAAAAGAAGATGCACTATTAAGAAAATATAAATGAGAAATAAAATCTAGTATAAATTTAATCTAAGCAAGACTGGGCTCCCAGACAAGTATAGGAAGTAACTATTTAACATGGAGGGAACATGGGGGGAAAACAGTGAGATATTTTAGACCAGCAGCACTGATGAAATGTTGGAGGCTGCAGGGAAAATATTGCAAAAATTGTTTCTCAGTTTTTAGACTGGATTTTTTTCAGATGACACATATTATGAAGCAAAGCGTTCCAACAGGAGTCTTCAATAAATTTAAGTCCAAAACCACAAACTGAATGAGAAACTTTGAGCTGAATTAATGGACATTTACATATATAAAACAGATAGATTTTCTTTGTCTCCTTTTTATGTTAAAAGCCTCTGATTCTTTCTAGCTAATAAAAATTGATCATTCTCACTTGATCCACATGAGGGAGTTGTAAAACTCAGGATCAATGGACTCCAGATCGTTGACAGTCAAAGGTTTGTTGAGCATGCGTTTGTAAAATGGCAGGGAGAAACCAGTGTCGATAAACTTGCCGTGGAAAAGAGCCTGAGGGATAAAAGAATGGATTATTTTCAAACAGAACCCTGAAACTCTTCTTGTAGTTTATTTTCCTGCCTTTAATAAAGCAGTGCTAGTAGTAAAAATAAAATTTACCATTGCAACAAGCCGTCCAATGAACCTGAAGTACTTGAGGTGGTCAGGGTTGATGGAGGAAGCAGGGTTGATCTGAAGACAGTAGTTATCATTGCCAGCATATTCAAACAGGCAGTACATGGGGTTCAAAACCTCATGGGACAACAGGAAGAACCACTCCCTGGAAGAGAGAATAAGGAAATAAAAGATTTTCACAGTTAGTTATGATAACTTTACCCCAAAGAAATAGTAAAAAGATGAAATATTTAAAGAAATATGTGGTACAGCATAAATCGTGTTGCGCAGATGGCATTTTTTGGCCACAATACCGATGCCCGATGCCTGGCTGTGCAGTATTGGCTGATACCGATACAGTCTCTTTGGAATTGATGTGTGCTTGTATGTATGAAGAACTGCATACTACTTGGATGTAAAATAATTGCCATCATTGCTTTGTCAAGCTGCTGCCTACCTTTGTGAAGCAGGAAAGACTAATACAAAGTGAATCCAGTAGAACTTTTATCTCCTACCTGGAATGAGTGACAATAGTTGAATAAACTTTTGTCTCTCAACATGGTATCGGTGCCCTATTTGTCGGTCCTCGCTGATACCTATAGCACCATTTTAGTGCTGGATTGGGGCCCCGCCTGATACTGGTATTTGTATCGGTGCAACGCTAGCCATAAATAAAGTTTACCTGGAAACTCCTCCATAATCAAGACCTTCTTCTCCTGGAAAGATGATCCACAGCCTTCTCCTCAGATCCTGAGGATTGATGCTCATGATCTAAAACAGAGAAAAACAGACTCAGGAATTAGTTATTTGAAAAACATTAATTATGTGATTTAAGGTTATTAATGCAGCTTTAATAGGGTATACCACTTTTAACCCTCAAGCTATAAACACATTCAAACTGAGGACATTTCCATACCTGCTGGAAAGAGTCATCAAACAGGTTCTTCCTTGTTACTGTGATCTTGACGTGCTGGGGTAACGCCAATTGCTTTAAAAAAACAAAACACAAGTTTTTTTTTATTATTTTAAATGATAAAATGAGAGATAAGAACTAGAAGCTGCTTCTCCATGTCTGGTTCTGGGTTGGCAGAGAGAACCTGAACCAGAGGATCTGAGAGGTCTGAGTGGTTGGTATATGGACCACTAGTCTGTGATGCATTTAGGATCTAAGCCATTCAATGATTTATAGACTTTCTCTCTGAGAGACGGGGATCAAGTGAAGGACTTCAGAACTAGGGTGATGTGCTCTACTTTCACAGCATTCTGGATCAGCTGAAGCTGATCTGCTTTCTAAGCAGACCTGAGAAGACACCGTGATGAATTCAACTAAAGATAAAGTTTTTCAAGAGTCTCCTGAGACATTAATCATTTCATCCTAGAAATGTTCTTCAGGGGAAAGAAGGCCAACTTTGTAATTATTATGTGGGTTCAAGTCTGAAAGAGTCACAGCTCCCAGATTCTGGGCCTGATCCCTTTCATAATTTCTTCTTTGGTCCAAAAATTAATAGTTCAGTTTAACTTTTATTTAACAGAAATTAAATAAAAATTTGCCAAAATTATGTTAATAATTTTGGCAAATCTGTGCATTTATTTCTCCTGATTGTATCTTTACAGTAAATGCATCAGAACGACTCTTACCTGGCACCAAAATTTAAAGTACTGAACTTTAGCCTTGAAGTCTCGGACATATTGGATCTGTGGTCCATTTTCACTGTGGAAGATATAAACAGAGAACAATGATATCACAAATAAGTGGCTTTGAAGTAAAACGGCAAAATAGTCCCATGAATGTGACTCAGAGTAGCTTTAAACTTCCTGTTGTTCACATTGCTTTATGGATCACCAAGGGAAAACTAATTACTCTTGTTACTCATTTGGTGGTTTCTTCAGCTGTGACTGATGAAGAGGATGCTCAGGGTTAACGATTTTAATAAAAAAAATCCTTCTTTGTGAAATCCTCTTCAGAGGTTCTGGAGGAGTCCCCAGAACAGAACCAGACTTTTATCAGCTTGTTGGGTTTCGTACATCAACTGTTCTGATGCTGCTACACCAACAGATGATGGCAGAACTAAAACTCTCTACAACAGACCGATAGTAGATCTGGATCCTCTAGCAGAGGTTTCTGGGTCAGGCTTATCAAAGTACTTGTCAGCTCATCATTCTGCTTCTTAACCAAACCTGTTTGGCTGCATTAAACAGGCAACAGGAAAGATGATGCCTGCTTCATAGTGTTATGTAAAGAGCAAAAGGTAAAATGAAAACAAACATGGGGAGAGAACACAGCAGTTCTGCAGTTCATGGTCCTTTAAAACATGTGAGGATTAAATGCCTACTATTATGTACTTTGTGTTTAGAAGCTGCTCTACTGACTGTAGCTGCCCTAAAAAGTAAACTATGCGTTTCTTCTTGTTTGTGTTTGGCTTCAGAGACGTTCAGCCTCAGCCACACAAACTTTTGTTGTGTAAAACAGCCAGTTGCTTCCAAATTATTTATCATCGCTTCTATCATCCCTCTCAGCACAATAAATGGCACAAATTATTGTGATGAACTTTTATAGTCTACATCCCTGCATGGGAGACCAATGCAATGAAACTTAAAGCAGCAGCTAATGTTCCCTGTTCAGTCTATCCATGGACCACTTGATCCAATCTGAAATGTTCCTAAATATAAATCGACGAGACTTATTGATTAATATAAATCAACATTTCTGAAGTTTAAAAAAAGAAATGAACTGATTTAGGTAACATATAAACCAACCATAATAATGGTTTATTTATGAGGCAATGATTATTTAGGGCCCAGTCACACTTTGAAAATTTAGCCAGCGTATGCCTGATGTCCTAGAATCTCAGAAAACTTTGGCATTCGCCGAACTTTCTACATATTTTTTTCCCAATTTTGGGCGTATACATAGAGTATTCATAACGAGTCCAGAACTTATGTCCAACAACAGCCTGAGTTATGCATAATGCACGGCAGCATAATGCCCATGAATTGTCACAAGTCAGTGTCCTGGGGGGAGCAGCGATGAACCTGGAGGCACCTTACCTGCATAAAAAGATGTGTTTGATCACGGTATTAACATAGCTGCTCTTTACCATCCGCCAAAAAAAAAAATAAAAAGGAAGGAAAGAAGGAAAGACGATGATAGGGATAAAGTCTGGAAGAGAAGTGACTGTTTCCTCCTGTGAACCCCCTTTTATACCAAAACGCTGCCAATACATCATTAAACAGTAGCTCTAAGTTAAAAAACACGTTCAGCAGTCATCTTGAACACGTCAGATACGTTGATATGCATTGGAAATAAGTTATGCATACGTTACTCATAGGTTAAGTTAAGCTAGATACCACGACTTGTGAGTAACTTATGCTTAATGTATGTCAACGATCAGATAACTTACCTGTAACTTATGGCCCACGTATGAGCATACGCTGCCATATGTACGTACTCTAAATACTTATCGTATGTTGACGTGCGCCAGCGTACTTCAGCATACTCCAGCATGCTCATAACTTATACAAAATGTACCCAACGTATGCCAGCGTTTTTGCCTGATTTCTACGTTGTCAGGCATACGTTGTCTAAATCGTCAAGGTGTAACAGAGACTTCATAAAGTCATCCAATATGCAGATTTCTTTTCTGGGAGTTATTTCACTCATAGTATCCAGATGAACTCAAATCAGTTTTAATCTCTAAGGCAGGTAAAAATAAAGAACTTTCCTATGTTTTTTTTGGGTCTTTTCCCTTAGTTTGCCTGTTTTTGTACTGTTTGTTAAAAGTTTATGTTTTTCAGAGGTGAAGAAACAAAAACCTACAGTGAGGATTTTCCTGAGCGAGGGTCGATGTAGGTGGTGGTTCTCTTGTTGTGGTCTACAAAATAAGGAATACCGTCCACAGTGAACCTCATCTCCCAGCCTTCTGGGAGCGGCTTCTCATTCAGTAATCTGGAAACGAGAAGAAGAATCGGAAAGAAAGCAAAAAAATAATAAATGACCAAAAAAAATGAAAATTTTTGTCATGAAAGAACAGGGTTTTGTTGTTAGGGCTGAATTCCCCCACTCACCCCTGTGTCCGTGGGTCCTCCCACTGTGTTGAGCGTGTTGGGTGATGTACAAAGTAAACTCTATTGTTTGAGTCCGTCCTCTTTTCTGAAGAGAGAAGCAGACCAGCTGGTTATCTAGGTTGTTCAGAAGGAGCCAACTAAAACTGTAATGATCTAAACTCAATTCAAACACAGATTTCTTTCATTTGTATGAATTAAAAAAACATTTAACTAATAAAATATAAATCAATAAAGTTCAGACAGATGTGTCCACTATCTGCTACAGCATAATGAAAACATCCAACACTGTCTGAGGAACTGTTTAGGATTGTTAAAAGCTAAACATTTATACCTCTTTCTTGCAGTACGGCTGAGTCTCTCTAAGCTCTGAAAATTCACTTCCCTGAAGCACAGAGAATTACCTTTGGCATAAATGATGATAAAAAAACAAACTCTTAATTTCCTGGTTCATTCCAGGGTTTTAGTTCTGCATTCCCTCTTAAGCTTTCTGGTTTAGAGTACAATGTTACAGGACTTTATTCTAACCATATGTTTTTTTTTGGGGGATGCATACTCTATAATTTTTAACCCTGTGTTTTATAAATGAGACTCCTGGGCTGAATACTGAATCACACGTTACAGCCTGTTATGAAAGGTTAACACATTGATCACATTTTATCGAATTAAAATGTGATCATTTAAAAAAAAAAAGTCCAGAGGTTCTGAATGTTCTGACTGAGCACATTGATTGGATCTGGTTCTAAAAGGATCGTAAGCAGGGGTAACCAAAAAAATCAGCGGGGTTCGAATAAAGAAAATCATCAACGGGTGAAGGTCCGGAGTAGGGCTGCAAAAAACGAATCGATAAAATCGATAAAAATCGACTTTTAAAAGCGTTGGCAACGAATTTGATCATCGATTAGTTGTGTCGCGCGATTATTGCGTCATCCGCCGCGCCGTCATCACTGCCTCTTGACTGAAAGAGGAAGAAAAAAAAATACGGCAGAGCGAGTCAGCGCCGCAGGTGCAGTGTTGCCAACTCAGCGACTTTTCAGACCCCTCCAGCGACTATTTTTCAAAAAAGCGACTAGCGACAAATCTGGCGACTTTTTTTCGGTGTCACTGGCGGCTTTTGGAGACTCTAACGTGATTGTTGTATATTGTTCTATTGTTTGAACCCCTTAGGGGCTTTTAAAATCAAAAATGTCTTTTTTTGCGCTTTATGAAACAAAGTACCCTATATTTTGTGGATGTACAGCTACATTTCTCATGTAAGTTTGCGTAGTTTTAACACAAACATTTATTTTTCATATTGCACCAGCACAGTTAATGAGCAACCTGTACTTGTGTGCTTGTTTGTTCTGTCTAAAATGTTTATTTTGGAATAAAGAGGTTAATATAAAAAAGATTTTTTGTCTGATTCATCGATTAATCGAAAAAATAATCGTCCGATTCATCGATTTTTAAAATAATCGTTAGTTGCAGCCCTAGTCCGGAGACATTTATAATTATAATCTGTTACTTTAAACAAAATTTAAAACTGCAATAAAATGAGGTGATTATGCAAACATGATATACATTAACTTTTTAAATACAAAAAAAAATAGAAAATTTTTCCATTTTAAAATATATATACCAAACAATCGTTTAGTTTTGTATATAGACAATTTCCTCATTCACATATTTTATAAAATACCTGAACTGACCGTTTGTTTGTTTTTTCTTTCTTTTCTATGGCTTAATGAGAGCAGTGGGCTTTAGGCTGCCCTGCAAGGCTTAAACCTGGGTTTGAATGGAGACAAAGCCATTCTAAAGCACATATCAAGGCTCATTTTAAGCCTGGATGGATATTTATTTTTTATTCTGTTTGTGGTGGAGAATCCTGCTTCACAGCAGCAGGTTGAGCCAAACATCCTCTAAATGTGCAGGGTCAACTTTGAGCACACCATTTCACTTTTCTTTCACCAGTTCACTGCAGTTCTTCCAGCAGTCCACACTTTCTCTGCTCTCTTTTTCTCATCCTCTTCTCCTTCTTTCCCATCGCCTGGCTTGCCACAGGTTTGGCTGCTGTGTCTAAAAGTAGCAGCAGCAGAAACCCAGACTGACAGAAGCTCATTGGATCATTTGGATCACGTGTAGCCTGGTGCCGGACGGCTTTAACATATTGACAGGAGAAGCAGCGCAAGTGAAGTTAGACACAGTCGTCGGACAACATGTGATCATTTATAAATGTTTTAAATCAGGTTGGGTCCAGATCTCCTGCTGTTCCTGGGTTACAAAATGAGCTTTTGCTTTTGCTGCCCAGCCGTGCTGATCCGTCCTGCACAGACACCCTCAGTCAGACCAGTTTGAAAGTGTTTGGATGCAAGGTCACTGGATTATGGCTCGGGATAATATCATCTAATTGGCATGTTCACATGACATTTTTATTCTAATGTGCCCATCGTTCCAACTATTAATTTATTTATAAACACAACTGTTGTTCATATGGTTAACACACAGGAGGCCTGTGTACAGAAAGAAAAATGAATGATCTTACCCCATCCATGAGGCAGCGGGCCAAGAGGATCGAACTCCTTATTCTGAGGAGCTGATGCCTGATCTTGGGCCTATAAAGAAAACAAAACCTTAATTTTTATTTGTAAGAAAATGCAACTGTTTTAGGCTTTAGTTTGAGTCGGCAATGTTAGGAACTGGTTAAGAACTTCCCCAAAATTCAACTTATAAAAACACGAAACAACATAAAAGACCTGCAATTGTCTTATTGATGTATTTGTTTATTTAAAGGAAGAGTACACCCAAAACATGATTAGCCTTCATTTTCTACTCACCCCCATGCTGAACAACACTCTGGAGTACTTTTTTGATATCTCAAATGCATCTGGAGATCTGGGAGGCTTCTTGCTGTCTGCTGACATTCAAATAATGGAGGTCTATTGTGCCCGAGACAGAAAGGTCCATAAAAGTCCACAAAAAACGTGTCAATATTCCTCCATACTGCTCGTCCAATGTATTCCAAGTGTCCTGAGTGGGTAGCGTCCATAATTTACTCGAAACAGAGTCATTTAGAATGTTTTTAGAGCATAAACAGTAGTGTATAGGATTTCCTAAAAGCGCGTTCACGACGCTACGGAAGCCGGCAGACCAAACCAGCGCATTCAGCTCGGCAAAGAACTCATGCTCTTCCTCAACATTGAAGTCCTCAGACATTTTTCTTTCGTTGTTTCTTTCTTTGCACAGGTAAACAGCACATTTCTTCTTCTACGCTTGCATTATCGGCAGAGCAGACGCTGAATGCGCACTTTCATCTGGTTTGGTCTGCCGGCTTCCGTAGCGTCGTGAGCGCGCAGGCTCGCGCTTTCAGGAAATCCTATACACTACTGTTTATGCTCTAAAAACATTCTAAATGACTTCGTTTCGAGTAAATTCTGGATGCTACCCACTCAGGACACTTGGAATACATTGGACGAGCAGTATGGAGGAATATTGACACGTTTTTGTGGACTTTTATGGACCTTTCTGCCTCGGGCACCATAGACCTCCATTATTTGAATGTCAGCAGACAGCAAGAAGCCTCCCAGATCTCCAGATGCATTTGAGATATCAAAAAAGTACTCCAGGGTGTTGTTCAGGCTAATCATGTTTTGGGTGTACTATTCCTTTAAATTAAGAAATGGAAGCAGTTTGAGGAAGGGATATTGAGGTTTTCCAGGAATTTTTTGATTGAATCTTAATTTAACAAAAAGCTGCCTTAAAACTGCCGGCCGACAGATGCTCACTATTTTTACAAAGCATTTTTCTATCAAAATCTCTCCAGATTCATATCTTTAAGTACCACAGACTCTATGACCTCCTAGAAGGGTTAATACTGTTTGAATAGGAAGGACGTTTTCTGATTCCAATTCCTCATTTCAATTTCTGTTGCTATTATCCTTAATTCAGACTCTTTAGATATAGATACTCTATAGATATTACATTAACTATGATATCTGATATGAATATTAGAAATTTATTTTTCACAGAATTGTGCTTATGGAGCTGCATTAATGAACCTTATTGAAACACATTCATACATATCCATTGTCTGATGCTGCAGAGACAAAAATACTTTTTCTGCATTGATCAAAGTGCCTAAATTCCAATGAACAGGATGTGAAAGTAATGAAATTTTACTTTTGTTTACGGGACAACTATAAAATGTTCAGTTAGTGGGATTCATCATATGAAACAGATGCAACATGTTACAGAATAAAAAATGGATAAAATTATGCCTCAAATCCTACATTATGCTGGCAGATCAGAGTAGGTCAAAGTGAATTCCTTTCAATCAGGAAGAAGGAAGGAAACGATGCAAGTATCAGAACATAATATAAAAGGAATAAAGATTTTTAAACATGATCTGTTCTTCCTGCAGGAGATTTGCTCCCAATGCAAGGGAAAACTAATTCTCCTGGAGATACCAACTTCAGCAGCACACTGGTGCAGCTCATCAAAGGCAGGGCACTCCCACCTCTAGACCCAAGGTGTTAAATAGTTTTGGTTGTGCGTCATCTTTTACATAACATAATCCTGTTGCCTGTGCTGCACTGAGCCGATGGGTCATTTCATTAAAGTTATGCCAAACTGTTCAACACTGCTGACAAACATGGTTGTACACAAACTTCCTGTGGACTAGGCATTAAACTAGAAAATGAAAAAATGCTGAGATTCTAGCAGAATCAGAATGTAAACTCCAGTTCCAGTTGATTTTTGCTGCCAAATCCTACCTCACAGGATGTTGGATTTAGACAAAAAGTGATATTAAACTACTTAAAATACTCTTCTTAACTACAAGATAAGGCAGCTGGCATCAAAACAAACAACAAAAAAAACTCCAGAAGTTCTCTGTATGTCTTTATAGCTGCACAAAGAACAACGTAAAACACCCACAACTGTTTGATCAAGAAATAAAACATTATTATAGTGACTTTTTTTATTTTTGGCATACGTACGAGGGGATCTAGCCATTCCTGGCTGCAGCAAACTCAACCTGACCGAGCAGCTGCATCAAATATCTCTCACACACCTTCACACACACGTCCCCCTCAGCATAATGCTGCTGAGGAAGTCTTACCCCGTATATAAACCTCTGGTTGAACTGCTGCATGGCGCCCTGCAGATGGTTTTGCTGGTGCTGCCACTGTTCATAGTTACGGACAGTCTCCATTGTGGGGCGCTGCCATGTGGTGGTTCGTGTCATGTGATCAACATAGTAGGGACGGCCCATCTGGTCCAAACGACGCTCCCATCTTTGAACACACAAACAAGGAAGACATTCATCAGAGGAGCACCTAGTCAGGAAAAATATCTAAGCAATGAGAACAAATGTAGAGGAAAATAATGAAGCTGTTGTATTTAGAAAAATTCAGACCAAAAATCAAACCCAGAGACAGACTCAGAAACCTTCAGTCTCTATGTCAACCTTTAGTACACCTTTCTATATCCAGATGCATTATGTTAAATTCATGACTTAAACCGTGTGATCTCTTCTGCCAACATCTTTTTGCGTGCAGCTTCAGAACAATTGACTTAAAGAAGTTCACCAAGCTAAAAAATGAAGACCTGCTCTGTCCTGGGAAATCTAGAACCTCTGTGGGTGATTTTAAAAATAATAATTCTTTATAAAATGAACAATACAGATGACCATGAGCATCATCTCCATTAGACTGTTGTACTAGAATAGTCTCCCCAATCAAAAGTAGCTAAACAATGTTGCCAAAAATCAAAATTTTGTGTGAAGAAGAGTTTACTCCTACTCCTTTTTCTTGGCTGGTCCTTTGCTGGTCCCTCTTTAATTCCTTTTTAAACATTAATTTTTGTACTAAAATATTCTTTCTGTCATGATTTGTGGACATTAAGATCTAAAGAGAAGTGTTATCTCCTGGTCAGACCCTGTAATTCAGTGAAAGGGTGGAGTCAGAGTACAATATATGCAAGAGGGCTGGAAGTTGGAGGGGATTTTGCTGGGAGTTGGAGGGAAGTGGGCTGCCATTCGGCTGGTGTTTGACTGGAAAGGGCCATTTTAAATGGCTGCTACTGAACCCTTCTTTGTGGGGACAAACACACTTAGTTTTTTTTACCGCCACCTTAAGGGCTGGAGTGAGAAATTTAGTTTACTCTTGTTAAATATAGCGCGATTAAATTTCAGTGCCTCTGCAATTTGATAATTGAGTTTTGTTAAGCTGCGATTATATTGAAAATGCAATTAATTGCCCAGTCATAATCATAAGTTTCTTCACACCAGACAGACAACTACAGAAGATCCTTCTCACCAACAGTCATCAACATCTACAAGTTATTAAATAAACTCCTTTACTATAAGTCAGAAGAACATTTCATTTCCCTTTGAACTGAAAAAAGATGAAAATTGATCTATTTCATTATGGCTAATTTTACCTTTGGAGTTCTGAAGCTGTGCTTTCAGATATTAGATTCCACCCCTGATTAAAAGTTTACGATTTTATTAAATCACAAGCAACCTCCTCCCCACACCCCGCTCTCTCTTGTTGTGCCTGTGCCAGCGAGATAGTTCTAATCTGCATCTGATGCACAAATTATTGTACTGCCTGCACGCTCTCACTCGCATTAAAAAAACACTGCAACGCATAGTCTAAAATCCGGGAACGCATCTGACTCGTGGGCATCTGTGAACAACTATCAATATCAGGGAGACTCCCAGAACTTCCGGCAGACCTGGAATGTCTGCCATACTCTACTTTTTCTCCGACTCAAGCTTGTTTTGCAAACATAGGGCTTTACGATCAACTGTAAGCAGTTCGGTGCAAACACGGAACCAGTTATATCTGATAGAATATATCTGAAGTGTCAGGACTCAGCCGACAGGGCCGTGCAGTTTCTGCCGGTTCTGCTTGTTTCTGCTTTCTCCCCAGGTGTTTGCTGTGACAGGTGGGCAGGGCGCACGCACCTGTGGCTGGTTGAGCTGCGTCTGATCGCACTATAAGAGCAGCATCCAGACAGCAGAAGGACGCCAGAGTGTTAACCGTAGTGGTACGACTAAGGCCACAGTCTCTCTACTGAGTTCTGACTTCCCTCGTTAACCCAAACCTCTGTGTTCCCCAGGCTACCTCTCGATCGCCTTTCAGAGGGTCTCACTCGTGCTGACTCCAGGTTCCCACAGGGTCCTCCTTTCTCCTGGCTCCAAGCAAGGTGCTTCGAGCCACTCTGGTTTCTCCTGCTGCCCCGGATCATTAAGTAAGCGCAGCTCTGTCACCCCACCTGTCACTGAGACACCCGCCACCAGCTCCATCGATCAGAGCCTGAGTCCGCTCCGTCCTCCCCCGGTTAGGTTGCTGCGTCCGGTGGTAAGCTCACGTTCTTCTGTTCATTTTTTGCCTGATCGCCCTTTCCGGCTAATCACCAACTTCTCCTTTCAGAAGTCGAACGGGTCCCGGTGCTGTGGCTTCCCCGTCGACTCCGTTGCTTCCATTTTCTCTCTCTCAATAAACAGTTAACTGATCCCTGTTGCCGTGTGTGTTCTGCATGTGGGCTAAATACGTTCAGCCGAACATGACAGAAGAACACTCTGGACAGACAGGCCCAGCGGACACATTCGGCAGGGCGTTAAATGCCCAGCAGGATCAGATTCGGGGATTAGAGTCCACTGTTCTAGCCGTTCAGAATCAGCTGCAGGGCGTAGCCGCCCAGCTCAATCAGCTGACAGGTTTACTGAATGCAAGCGCTCAGCCTACAGCCTCTGCACAGCCCGACCCCGCCCCCGGTCCAGCGCCAGCTGATTCGTTTTCACCTGTCCCTGAGACTTTTTCTCCCAGTCCGGAGAAATTCTCCGGAGACAGTGTACAGGTGCTGGTCATAAAATTAGAATATCATGAAAAAGTAGATTGATTTCAGTAATTCCATTTAAAAAGTGAAACTTGTATATTATATTCATACATTACATACAAACTCATATATTTCAGATGTTTATTTTGTTTAATTTTGATGATTACAAATGACAACAAATGAAAATCTCAAATTCATCATATCAGAAAATTAGAATATTGTGAAAAGGTTCAAAATTGATGGCCCCTGGTGCCACACTCTAATCAGCTAATTAACTCAAACCACCTGCAAAAGCCTTTAAATGGTCTTTCAGTCTAGTTCTATAGGCTACACAATCATGGGGAAGACTGCTGACTTGACAGTTGTCCAAAAGACGACCATCGACACCTTGCACAAGGAGGGCAAGACACAAAAGGTCATCGCTAAAGAGGCTGGCTGTTCACAGAGCTCAGTGTCCAAGCACATTAATAGAGAGGCGAAGGGAAGGAAAAGATGTGGTCGAAAAAAGTGTACAAGCAAGAGAGATAACCGCACCCTGGAGAGGATTGTGAAACAAAACCCCTTCAAAAATGTGGGGGAGATTCACAAAGAGTGGACTGCAGCTGGAGTGAGTGCTTCAAGAACCACCACACACAGACGTATGAAAGACATGGGTTTCTGCTGTCGCATTCCTTGTGTCAAGCCACTCTTGAACCACAGACAGCGTCAGAAGCGTCTAAAGAGAAACAGGACTGGACTGCTGGTGAGTGGTCCAAAGTCATGTTCTCTGATGAAAGTAAATTTTGCATTTCCTTTGGAAATCAAGGTCCCAGAGTCTGGAGGAAAAGAAGAGAGGCACTTCATCCACGTTGCTTGAAGTCCAGTGTAAAGTTTCCACAGTCAGTGATGGTTTGGGGTGCCATGTCATCTGCTGGTGTTGGTCCATTGTGTTTTCTGAGGTCCAGGGTCAACGCAGCCACATACCAGGAAGTTTTAGAGCACTTCATGCTTCCTGCAGCTGACCAACTTTTTGGAGATGCAGATTTCATTTTCCAACAGGACTTGGCACCTGCACACAGTGCCAAAGCTACCAGTACCTGGTTGAAGGACCATGGTATCCCTGTTCTTAATTGGCCAGCAAACTCTCCTGACCTTAACCCCATAGAAAATCTATGGGGTATTGTGAAGAAGAAGATGCAATACACCAGACCCAACAATTCAGAAGAGCTAAAAGCCACTATTAGAGCAACCTGGGCTATCATAACACCTGAGCAGTGCCACAGACTGATCGACTCCATGCCACGCCGCATTGCTGCAGTAATACAGGCCAAAGGAGGCCCAACTAAATACTGAGTGCTGTACATGCTCATACTTTTCATGTTCATACTTTTCAGTTGGCCAACATTTCTATAAATCCTTTGTTTTTATTGGTCTTCAGTAATATTCTAATTTTCTGATATGATGAATTTGAGATTTTCATTTGTTGTCATTTGTAATCATCAAAATTAAACAAAATAAACATCTGAAATATATGAGTTTGTATGTAATGTATGAATATAATATACAAGTTTCACTTTTTAAATGGAATTACTGAAATCAATCTACTTTTTCATGATATTCTAATTTTATGACCAGCACCTGTAGATTGTTCTGGTTTTCTCTTCCAATGCTCCCTGGCTTTAAATCGTAGTCCACGCTCTTTTCCCCATGACGACTCCAAAATAGCCTTTATTTTGCGCCTTCTCACCGGGAGAGCCCTCAGATGGGCGGAATCCCGTTTTCCAGACTGCAGAAGATTCTGCTGCTCATTTAGTGAATTCATAACAGAATTCAAGATGGTTTTCGCTGCCGAGTCGGATGAAACGACTGATTCCCGACGCCTCCTCGCCCTCAGGCAGCGGGGAAGGCGCGTTGCAGACTTCGCAATTGAGTTTAGAACTCTTGCGGCTGCAGCTGGCTGGGAAGAGCGCGCGCTTAAGACTGTGTTTTTTCAGGCTCTAGACGAGCCACTAAAGGATGAATTAGCCCGTCTAGAGGTGCCCGCCTCTTTAAATGAGTTCATCTCCCTTGCGGTTAGATTAGATAACCGTCTAAGGGGAAGGTTTAGAGGACGAGCTGAGAGATCCCTCCCGTCTTCTCCACCTGATCCTATTCCCGGTCGGCCCGCAGCGCGTCCTCCTTCTCCTCCTGAGCCCATGCAGTTGGGCCGGTTACGGCTCACCCCCGAGGAGAGGCAGCAGCGTATAGCTGCCAAATTATGTATTTATTATGCTTCCCCGAATCATTTTATTAGCGACTGCCCTGAGCGGTCAAAAGACCGGGTCCGCCGGCTGTAGCAGGGAGACTGTCGGACCAAGTTAAGCTGACAGCCCCTGCTCCTCCGCATCTGTGCTTACGCGGCGCTTTAATTTCTTCCCGTGAAACCTTTAAGTTTTCCGCTCTGGTTGATTCAGGGTGCGACTTTAATTTAATAGACTGTTCCTTCGTTCAACGCTCCCAGCTCGAAACCGTGCCCCTGTGCACACCTCTCCAGGTCTCTGCCTTAGATGGAGGGGCTCTCCCTCAGATAACCCACCGTACTAAGCCCCTTGAGCTCGTGGTTTCAGGAAATCACAGGGAGCAGATCTCCTTCTTGGTTTTTCCTGTTAAGCAGGCTCCTCTGGTGTTGGGTTATTCTTGGTTACAGCAACACAACCCAAACATTAACTGGGCTGACCGGCGCATCGAAGCCTGGTCGATTAAATGCCATTCCAGCTGCCTGCTGTCGGCGGAACCCGCCAGCCCGATCACTGTCCAGCCTTCTGCTGAGGTTGATCCGGATATGTTAAGACTCGTTCCAGAGTCGTATCACGACCTCAAGTTGGTTTTTAGTAAGTCCCAGGCCTGCTCTTTGCCACCGCATCGACCCTACGATTGCGCAATCAACCTCCTGCCGGGCGCCCAGCTCCCAGCCAGTCGCCTGTATAACATTTCTCAGGCCGAGCGACAGGCTTTGGAGAAATACATTAAGGAGTTGCTAGCTGCCGGGCTGATTAGACCCTCGTCTTCCCCCCTCGGGGCTGGGTTCTTTTTTGTTGCGAAGAAGGATGGCTCCCTTCGCCCATGCATAGACTACCGTGGGTTAAATGCTATAACGGTAAAGAACAGGTACCCCCTTCCTCTCCTTTCCTCCGCTCTTGAACCGGTCCAGTCCGCTACGGTCTTTTCTAAATTAGATCTGCGTAATGCTTACCACCTGGTCCGGATCCGCCGGGGGGGACGAGTGGAAAACGGCCTTCAAGACACCCTTGGGCCATTTTGAATACCTGGTAATGCCTTTTGGGCTCAGCAATGCTCCAGCGGTCTTCCAATCCCTTGTGAACGATGTCCTCCGTGATTTCCTAAACCTGACCCTGAAAAGATCAGGGCTGTTCTCGAGTTGCCTGAACCAGAAAATAGAAGAGAGCTGCAGCGGTTTTTAGGTTTCGCTAACTTTTATCGCCGCTTTATCCGTGGGTACAGTCAGATCGCCGCCCCCCTTCATGCCCTCATGTCTGAGAAGACTTCGTTCAGGTGGAACACAGAGGCTGACTCAGTTTTCCGTGACCTTAAGGACAGGTTTTCCAAGGCCCCTATTCTCATTCATCCAGACCCCTCCAAACAGTTCATTGTCGAAATAGATGCTTCCGACACTGGTGTTGGAGCTGTGTTGTCTCAGTGCTCGGGCCTGGATCAGAAGATGCACCCGTGCGCCTTCTTCTCCCGTCGTCTGTCCCCCGCTGAACGCAACTACGACGTCGGCGACAGGGAGCTCCTGGCCATAAAACTGGCCCTGGAGGAGTGGCGCCACTGGCTGGAGGGGTCTGAGCAGCCAGTACAAATATGGACAGATCATAAGAATCTAGCTTATCTCCAAACAGCTAAACGACTCAATCCCAGGCAAGCCCGTTGGTCCCTATTCTTTTCCCGTTTTAATTTAAGTATCTCCTACTGACCTGGTTCCAAGAATCTAAAACCCGATGCTCTGTCCCGCCTGTACGCCCCCCACGACTCAGTTAAGGAGCCCTCTCCCATCCTACCTCCGACCTGCACCTTTGGGGCCCTCCAGTGGGAGATTCTGGACCTCATTTCCCAAGCTCTGCCTGCTGACCCGGACCCAGGTAATGGCCCACCTAACCGCACCTATGTCCCCTCCTCCGTTCGGCCCCGCCTCATCCAGTGGGCCCACTCTGAAAAGTTATCGGCCCATCCTGGAATCCTCCGAACTATCAAGTTCATTTCCCGGCGGTTCTGGTGGCCCGACTTACCCAAGGATGTTAAACAGTTTGTCCTAGCCTGCCCAGTTTGTGCTCAGAACAAGCCATCAAACAGACCCCCTGCAGGCTTGCTCCAGCCCCTGCCAGTCCCTGAGCGGCCATGGTCCCACATAGCCCTAGACTTTGTCACCGGCCTACCCTCCTCCCAAGGTATGACCACTATTCTCACTGTGACTGAGCGTTTCTCTAAGGCCTGCCACCTCATTCCCCTCAGAAAACTCCCCTCTGCTTTTCAGACGGCCCAGCTCCTGGTGAAGCATGTTTTCCGCCAGCATGGGATCCCGCTGGACGTTCTGTCTGACCGTGGTCCACAGTTCACCTCGCGTGTGTGGAAGGAGTTTGCCGTGGCCCTTGGTGCCCGGTACTCTCTTACCTCTGGCTACCATCCACAGACCAACGGTCAGACTGAGCGGCTCAACCAGGAGCTGGAGACCGCTCTCCGCTGTCTAACCTCCACCAATCCCTCCGACTGGTGTAAGTTCCTTCCCTGGGTGGAGTACGCTCATAACAGTCATGTCTCCACTGCTACTGGCATCTCCCCCTTCGAAGCTTCTCTGGGCTACCAACCTCCTCTGTTTCCTGACGACCATAAGGAAATAGCTGTACCTTCCGTTGCCCACCATATCCACCGATGCAAAAGGGTCTAGATTCAGACCGTCCAAGCCCTGAACCGGACCTCTGAGCTGAACCGCCGGTTTGCTGACCGCAGGCGAGTCCCTGCCCCCTCCTATCACCCCGGTCAGCGGGTCTGGTTATCTACTCGAAACCTCCCGTCCAGATCTTCCCATCGGAAGTTATTACCACGTTTCACTGGCCCCTATGAGATTGTCTCCGTCCTCAGCCCGACGACCGTCCGCCTCCGTCTCCCGTCCCATTCCAGGACCCACCCTACCTTCCATGTCTCCCAAATCAAGCCCGTCCTCTCTAGCCCGTTTTGCCCTCCGGCCGAACCCCCTCCACCCGCCCTCGACCACCTGGGACGTCAGGTCCAAAGGGTCGTGGCCTCCCGTCGGCGTGGTAGAGGGTATCAATGCCTCGTTGACTGGGTGGGCTGCGGTCCGGAGGAACGTTCCTGGATTTCTGGTTCCTCCCTCCCTGACAGGTCGTTGGTGGACTCTTTCCTCTCCTCTTCCTCGAGGTCGCCGGGTGGCGACCATTGAGGGGGGGGTGGTTTCAGGACTCAGCCGACAGGGCCGTGCAGTTTCTGCCGGTTCTTCTTCTTTCTGCTTTCTCCCCAGGTGTTTGCTGTGACAGGTGGGCAGGGCGCACGCACTATCTGATCGCACTATAAGAGCAGCATCCAGACAGCAGGAGGACGCCAGAGTGTTAACCGTAGTGGTACGACTAAGGCCACAGTCTCTCTACTGAGTTCTGACTTCCCTCGTTAACCCAAACCTCTGTGTTCCCCAGGTTACCTCTCGATCGCCTTTCAGAGGGTCTCACTCGTGCTGACTCCAGGTTCCCACAGGGTCCTCCCTTTCTCCTGGCTCCAAGCAAGGTGCTTCGAGCCACTCTGGTTTCTCCTGCTGCCCCGGATCATTAAGTAAGCGCAGCTCTGTCACCCTCAAGCCCGAGCCCCACCTGTCACTGAGACACCCGCCACCAGCTCCATCGATCAGAGCCTGAGTCCGCTCCGTCCTCCCCCGGTTAGGTTGCTGCGTCCGGTGGTAAGCTCACGTTCTTCTGTTCATTTTTTGCCTGATCGCCCTTTCCGGCTAATCACCAACTTCTCCTTTCAGAAGTCGAACGGGTCCCGGTGCTGTGGCTTCCCCGTCGACTCCGTTGCTTCCATTTTCTCTCTCTCAATAAACAGTTAACTGATCCCTGTTGCCGTGTGTGTTCTGCATGTGGGCTAAATACGTTCAGCCGAACATGACATGAAGAAATTGTTTTCATAAACGTTTTTTTTTATATAAAGCATTTTAAAAGCCACAATAATCACATTTAATTAATTCTAATGCCAATAAAGGCCTGTATTTGAAAAAGAATCATTTAATGACTTTTAATGACCTACGGAACCCCTGTTATTATTTCTACATCCTTATCAAGGCTGTGGGATTTCCTAAAAATGAAAATAATTAAAATTGTGAATACCATTTTATTTTGATTTTCATCTGCAGTAGCCTGCCTAAAACTGTTTGGCTTCAGGCTTTCATTATTTTCATGATCTGGACTGTTCTATTCTAGAGTCTATTGTGACAGGATGTAAGTGTTGCATGACAAATGTTTACTTCTGCCTGTATTGATAGATCTGCCCTCTATTTGCAATCTCACCTCTGTAAGGTGACAATCCCACTTTTAGCATTACCATCATCTAAAGGGCTGGAGTGAGAAGGTCAGTGCCTCACTCTTGTTAAATGAAAAGTTACCAAAAGTTTAAAAAGCCTCTGTGATTTGGAAATTGTATTTTTTTTACCCATTAAATTATAATCTGTAATACAAGCTTAATCATTATCAAGTAAAAAAAAAAAGATGTACCCTGGAGGAAGCGGTTCCGGACGTTCCCATGATGTTCTCTTTAGCACATGATCCACATAATACACCCGACCATTCTGGTCCACCCTCTGCTCCCATCTAGAGGACACAGAGATGAATAAATAAATGGAAAAAAGAAAACATAAAACAGCATTAAAAACAAAAACAGGACTTTCAGGTAATTTACATTTAATCTGTATCAACTCATTATGCAAGTTGCTGCTTCAATAAAGAAGTAGCCAGTCCCTTTTCTATGTCAATTGAATTCAATTCAATTCAGTTTATTTATATAGCGCCAAATTCACAACACATGTCATCTCAAGGCACTTTACAGTTCAACCAGATCATACAGTCAAATTGATACAAAGTTTTCTATCTAAGGAAAACCAGTTGATTGCATTGACTCATTGACTCAAATACAATCCCCCACACTAAGCATGTCACTACATGGTATTCCTGTTCTACAACCTCCAGGTGGAAACACTGAATAATTCAGATGGCTTCAAGAATGAATCATGAGCACAAAGCAGATCCTCATTCTTGGTTTTGTTTGGCTGAAAAACAGCGACACCGTTTCCTGACACTGTTTCTATGAGTGACTCATTAATTCCTCTCTTCCTTTATTTTCTGCTGATAAAGCTTTCGGTTCCCTCTGTGTTTGTTTTAATAACTCTCAGCTCTGTAGTGAAGATTAGAAAAAGAGAGCTAACCCAGGAGGTAATGGTCCATGGTTGACGGAGGGTACTCTGGGAGGGAGGGAGGGTGTGGTGTTGCTGGTCGGCGGCCTGGTTGCTGCAGCTCCTGATGTGGAGCTCCTGTTAGAGGACGTTGATGGACTGTAGTCTGGAGCAGATGTGGGTCCTGAGGTCCGCACTGGTGTATCAGGGGCCGAATGGCCCTCACTAGCCTCTGTGGGAGCGGAGCCGTTGCTAGAAGATGCTGAGGGAAAATTCAGATAGATGGAGCTGCTATTATAACACAATAACAATGCCAAAGATACCGTATTTTCACGACCATAAGGCGCACCGTACTAAAAGGCGCACTCTCAGTTATGTGTCCCATTTCTGTATTTAACACACACATAAGGCGCACCGGACTATAGGGCACGTTTTTTATATACAGGTACATGTCCTCTACTACCTTTAAATAGCTCTACTGCATATTTAAAAATACAGCGGGGGCAAAACTGAGTATGACTGTGCTTTATTCATGTATTTATTACAAAGTATTAATCAAACCTGGCAGCTGGCCGTGAGACAGACCAACATCGCAGATGACACAGCGCTGTGATCACTCCTAAATTAACTTAAAATCCTGAAACCTGCTGACTGAATATGTTCGCTTTTATTGCCGGTATCCTGGTGCCTGCAGTTTAAATTGTTTAGATGAAAAACACCTGCCAGCCGCCGCGGTGAGGCTGCTGTTGAAGGGATTTACTGTCGGTGCACCGCTGGTATGTGGGGGTCTGAGCGCCTCCGACAGAAATAGTATAGGCACGATAATAATCTGGATGAACTGACTGCAATTATTAAGTTTTCAGGTGGACTTTCTCACTTAAAAACATATTAAAACTACTTTATTCCCACTGATCACAGCAAATATAGCTGCAAGATTTAGATTATTTAGATGAAAAAACACCTGCCAGCCGCCGCGGTGAAGAGGAGGAGACCCGCCCAGAGGCTGCTGTTGCATTAAGTTTTCAGGTAGAAAAATAGAGCGGGAGCAAAACTGAGTATGATTGTGCTTTATTCATGTATTTATTACAAAGTATTAATCAAACCCATCAAAGTCATCATCCTCTGTTTCTGAATTAAACAGCTGCGCTAAATCAGACATGCCAATTTCCCCTTCTTCGCTGTGAGAGTCATTTTCCGTGCAGCGCGGCTCCTCAGAAATAATGCCGGCTTTTGCAAAAGCTTGAACAACAGAGCCAGCAGACACGTTAGTCCAAGCATCTACAATCCATCCGCAAACGGTGGCGTAACTTGCCCGGCGCTGCCTTCCACTTATCCGCTCGCAGCTCGCAGCCTTACTTTGAACGGCCGGTTCACACCGATGTCGAGCGGTTGAAGTTCCTTTGTCAGACCCCCGGGATAACGGCGAGCACAGCGTTAATTTGATTCACCTTTTTTTCACATCGGCTGTGAGATGGGCACGCAGCGATGGTGATGCGTGGAAAAAACCACCTGGTCTCCTCACATACACCTGCCTCAGCCACGCTTTCATCATCTCCTCATCCATCCAGCCCGTTTCATTTGCGTTAATATATGTCATCAGAGCGCTGTGTCTGTCTCGCTGTCAGCTCCCAGATCAGCTTCTCTGATTGGTTGATGCGGCGCGTCCAGCAGCAAAACTTCAATTTTTCCATCTCGAGCAGCAGCAGCGTGATGCGCTGCGCCTGCTGCTCAAAAACGCGCTGCGGGACCTTTTGCTGCGCCTATACGCGCGTCAACCATTGACTTTGCATGTAAACTCGCTGCTTCTGCTGCACCTGCTGGGTCCGGTTCACACCGATGTCGAGCGGTTGAACAGCGAGCACAGCGTTAATTTGTTTCCCCATGTTTTTCACATCAGCTGTGAGATGGGCACGCATGGAGTTACATATTAACAGCGATGGTGATGAGTGGAAAAAAAACACCTGGTCTCCTTTAGGGGTGGGTATTGGCAAAGAAGTCACGATTCGATTCGAATCACGATTCACATGCCACGATGCGATTCTATCACGATGCATCACGATACTTGAAATATTGCGATGCATTGCAATATTTTCACTGAACACTGTAGTAAAAGGATACAGCCCTTACCAGTGGCTGACTGGCTGGGTATGATCTGGATAGTGTCTTCAATTGATACATAACTGAAAGCAACCGAATTCATACATAGCTGTATTTATTGAAATGACTTTTGGAGGTGTTGCCATGAAAACAAATACTGGACAGAAATATTACTATTACCGGCGTGGACACACTGACAAAAAGATCTTAGGATTCATCAAACTTAAAATAACAAAATAAGGATAATCAGTGCTGTTTACATGGCCTCAGTGGTCCTTCAAACCAATGAAACGAAAACATTAAAATGTTTCAACTTGAAAACTGAAATGATAAAAAAAAAAAAAAAAAAAAAAAAAAAAAATTTTTTTTTTTTTTTTTTAATAATCGATTCTTGCCTTCAAGAATCGATGCAGTAGATCACAACAATTAGAATCGCGATGCATCGATATGACGATTATTTTGCACACCCCTAGTCTCCTTACATTCAGCCACTCTTTAATCATCTCCTCAATGAGGTGGTCTCAAAAGTCGCAGTTACAACACACATAAGGCGCACCGCACCAAAGGGCGCACCGCACATTTTGAGGGGGAAAAAAAGACGTTTAAGTGCGCCTTATAGTCGTGAAAATACGGTATGTATAAAACAAAACAGGACTGTACGGTCTAATCCAACAGATTAGCTACTTTAGTTTCATTTACTAAAAAGGGTAAAGTTATGATGGTGCACTGCAGTGTCATGTGAGAATCGTGTGTCTGTAGATCTGTCAGGGTGCCCATGCAGATTTTATTTTATGTTTGATTTGAGTATTTCTTTACAGTGGGTAGATATGACTTTAACTGATAGAGTGGTTGTTAAAAACAAAGCTGAGTTTTGTCCAAACTCGGGTTATCCTCAGGGTAAATATTTGACACTGATAAGACTTACACTGTAATAAGAGGAGAGACTAACTTTGGTAAGATCTCTTTTTCTAATTACTTATTTTAGGTCCTGCTTTTCAATAAAATCATCTAAAGTTCTGCACACGATCAGTTGAAAAGGTCAGTCAGAAATAGGCGACAACAGAGTTCAGAGCAGAGCTGCTTTATGATCCTCCTGCTTGTATTCAATAAGGAGATGCTATCATAGATCAGCAGATTCTAATGCAGATAATAGCAGGTTGAGGAAAACACACAAGAACCGGGCTGATAAAATAATCAAATCATGTTATCTGTGATTTTATTTATTTATTTAATTTTTTTTTGTGTTCACTGCTAAAATTTTTGGCCAGTGTATTTTAACTTTACATCTGTTTTTTTGGAAGTTGTCAAAATTACAATGAAATCAGTCTGTTAGCTCCATTTTAATAAATATAATAGCTGCAGAAATTGCGTTTTTTAAACACTTATCAGTTTTTTTTGCTCAAATGTCAGAAAATAGTTTATTCAGGGACCTTGAGACAACGCTTTGAAATTTGTTATTTACAGTTACAGCTGAGCTCGCCAGGCAAACAAGAACATCCATCTGTCTCCCGTGCTCACAGGTGAACACGTATGCTACGCATCTGGCGGCAGACAGAGAGCGCAGCCTCTGAAGACAACAAAACAGCTGGTCACTCAGGCCGAATTGGACAATCGTCAGTGTTTAGTTTAGCCTTTTTTTGTGTCCTGCAAAATGCAGCTTCCTGTGGCTGCAGGTGGGTCACTGTGACGCCTCACTGAGTCAATCTGAAATTTTGCAATTAAGAGGAAATGTGGACAGATGACGACAGGAAAAACAATAAAAGAAATAGGAGTGGGCTTAATCAGCAAAGGCTTAAAAGAGATCGGTAAGAATGTGACAGGAAAAATTAAAATACATGAGTATTTTGAAACACAGTTGAACTACTTTTATTATTGTAAAAACAGATTGAATCGAAATTAATCGATTCGACTGAAATAAAATGCTGGTGTTTATGCATACATGTTATACATTGAATTTTTTTATTAAAATTTAAAATTTTTCCATTTTGAAATCTAAATGGTTATTGAAGTAGAGAACAACAATCTTTTAGTTCTGTATATAGACAATTTACTGACTTTTTTTAATAAACACATGGACTAACTGTTTTTTTTTTCTTTTTTATGGCTGTTACAGCTGGTGATAATTTGTGTGCAAATGCAAGTGTGCAGGTGCCAGTTGCTGATTGGTTCCAGGACGATGACATCATGACATCCCATTGGTGGCTTCCTGGAAGTGACAACTATAAAAAGGCTGCTGATGTGGACTTCCTGGTTCCGTCCTCCACTCTTCCCAACTGGCCACACTGTTAACACCTGATTATTCTGGAGCTTGTAAGAGTGAGCTGCCATTTCTGTTGCTTAAGTTTTCTCCTGTTTTTCTTAGTTAGGGAGGTAAGGTGACTGTCATTTGTTTACTTATACTGCAGTAGGTAAGTTGGTTCATTTCTTTGTTTTAGACAGTTGCCTTTTGTTTGTTATTTTTGGCATATAGCTCTCTCTGAAGTCATTTGCTCCACTTATGTTGTAACTTTAGAATTATTTTCCTTTTTGTAAATAAATCACTTTCTAAAGATGTGCAACTTTGTATGTGTGAGCTACTTGGGATGGGAAGAGGATGGATCCACTCTTTAATGTGTTATGGTCTGGCAACCCTAGACGGGTCGTAACATATTAAATTGGGGGCTTGTCCGTTTCTTCTCTCGTTCTGTGTTTGGTAAGTGTTTGCACACTCTTCTGATTAGCAGTTTTATTCTCTGCACAGGGGACTTATGGAGAAGGGATTTTCTCTTGAGGATTTTGTAAGTTCACCTTCTTGGATAAAATTGGAAAGATGTAAAAAAAGGGATTTGCTTATATTGGCTGACCATTATGATGTTAAGGTGTCTTCCAGTGATCGAAAGTCAGAACTGAAGGAAACACTGTGTGAACAACTGGTGGAAAAAGGTGTGTTGCTAACAGCTGCAGTGAAGGAAGTCGAAGACGCAGCACTGGCTGATATGCCTGCTACAAGCTCTGAACCCAGCACCATACCTCTTGAAGGTATGTCGTCAGAGGATCTGCGTCTCACACTCCATCTTAGGGAGGTGGAGAACCGTACCAAGGAGCTGGAAGTGGAAGCCATGCGTCTTCAAATCAGAGCTCTTGAACTCCAAAACGGAGCTTCTGCAGTTTCGCCACAACCACCAA